TTAAAAAAGTTAAGTGATGATAGATCAAAGTCTAGCCAAATCTAGCAAAAATCAGCCAATGTTTCCGAAAAAATGACTACACAGGATTTTATAGATTTTGAAAAAAAAACACAAACCGACAAGTACAGAAAATGCCACTTTTCAGTATTTGCAAAAGAACGTCGTTGGACATTGCTAAACTGACTATAGTCTTCGAGATTTCAATATTGACCCACTAAACATAAGGTGCGTTTAAAAAAAACTACAAAAAAGGAGGGAAATTGTACGTGGAAAGTAAAGTGTTTAAAACGAAAAAACATTCATCATCTATAAAAACAATTTCCTTGCAAACAAATATTTTTTATTATTTCCCAATGTTTTGACTGGGACCTTCCCCCTTACTGGAGTAGAAAGTAAATACTATATTGTACTATTTTTCATTTATTACATTCATTTACTCTGTTCTGATTATGGAATATTTCTTTGTGGTTCTCTATTCTCTGTTTACTATTTATTCATTTGTATGATTTTTATATACCGGGGGACACTCTATAACCTTTAAATCTTAAAATGTTTCGACACGATGAAGTCAATGAATGCATTTCCGGTTTCAACGGAATGGAAGGTAATTTTCGAATTTGAAATGACACACCCCATATTTTTATGCACTTTTGAGTTCGGGAGAATATTCTACACGGGATATTTACATGCCTCTGAATCATTCTTGTTTTTTTCAATTTTATTGAAAATTAATATATTTACTATAAATATTATTTACAGTGCCCACTGGTGATTCGAAAAATTCTAATTAAAAACGTTTTCTTACTAAGTTAAGTTAGCGCCCATAGTGGGAACACTTTTTTTTAAACCAAAACCATTTTTGCAACATTATGAAACCAACATTTTCACGCATTTTCAATTCCAGCTTTCTGAAAAAAGTACCAGTAAGTACCCAAAAAATACAAAATCCAAATAACCTAAATGAAGTTTAAAGTATATTTTTAGTGAACTAATAAACAATCACTACACCGTTAAATTTTCGTGATCAAATGATTCCGGCTTATCCTCAGAAATCACCCTCGACAGTACTCCAAATTAAACTGTGATATCAGTTTGAACAATGTGTTCTGTGATGAATATTTTACAGAAAGAAATAATATTTTTGTAAATAATAATAAATAAATGTGTTTAGTATAGTAAATTATATCTTATTCTAAGTTAATGTGTGGTTTACCGAGAATTATGTAAGAAAATACTTGCCACCAAGACCAAATATGAGTTATTAGAGAAATACAGGGTATTAAAGTTTAGTTCTCGAAATTGTTAATTCTCTATAGCTCACTGTTTTTGAGATATCGACGTTAAAACTTTGATTCGAAGCTTGTGGTGAGGAGGAATACAATTTCATTTTATTTATATATTAAAGATGCACTACATTTACTTCGATTTCACTTACCGCTTAATACACTAACAAATTTAAACTATTAGTTAGGACTTTCACATGCAATTAAATATCACGTATCTACAACTAAGCTTGTTACTTTTTATTTTAATAAGTTTATAAACAAAAATATACCAACACCTTCGCATTATCGGCAAATTTGAAAATATTTCTTTAAATGTGAATAAAATTGAACCACTGAAATCTTGGGTGCTAGATTAAGAGATTTACCCACAGTACGACATCCTGAGTAACGGCAGCATGAGCTTGTCGAGAGCATAACTGAGAAACATAACATACACTTTTGTTCAAATTGTAAATTGTACGAGCCCTAACAACTAAATGTTTGGACGATGTAAAAAATGATAAAAAAGACATTTTTATTATATCTATTTAATTTTTTTTTTGCTTTGTCGATTGAATAATCAATTTACGCACAGAAAGTGCAATCGTAATGAATTATTTTTTATTTCGCATGAATTACACAGCTAACCAAATTTGCTGACAAATAAATATTCGGACGCGAATGTTTATTGACCAAGAAATCAATGCTACCCATGCATTGATGGTAAAATGTAGTGTGCTTAGATAAATGAGATGTCAGTTCGGGTTGTACCTTTCAAGTTTGTATAATAGTTAATAAGAAAATGACGCGCGGTGTTGCAACAAACAAAAAAGTGCGAGAAATTATCATATCTCAGTACTGCAGAGGTAAATCAATGCAAAAAATTCAAATGACTTGAGTATTGCAAAATCAACAGTCGGGGATATTATAAAAAAGTATGGAGAGACAGCTAGTGTTAGCGTTCGTGGTAAAAGTTCAGACCGACCCCGTAAAATCACTGAAAGAGATCGTCGTATTCTGATCAAGTTTTGTAAAACTAGCAGACGAAGCGCCTTACAACAAATTCAAGCTCAATGGAATCACAAGGCAAACTTAAATGTCTCCAGGGAATGTTGTAGACAATGGATGCATAAGTCCGGTTTGAGTTTTTATAAGGTAAGTTTACAATTTTTCCTGTTTCAATTTAAAAATTATTAATATTCTATGATCTACTCTTGTTAAAGGCAAAGGAAAAAAAGTCTATTCAGAAGAAAAAACGTTTGGATTGTGCAAAATCCAAAATATCCTGGACAACGGAAAAGTGGAGTAACGTTATCTTCAGCGACGAATCAAAATTTGATGTGTGTGTAGGCGATTTTCGAAAAAGGGTGATTCGTACATGTCATGATATGGGGTGTATGAGTGGTACAGGGGTTGGCAACTACGAATTCATTGATGGTACTGTAAATGCAGAAAAATACCAACTAATTTTATCAAGAAGTTTGATTTCATCAATAGAACGAACTTTTCGAAATGAAAATTTTATATTTCAACATACTGCGAAAACAACAACAAAAAAAGTTTTCGTGGACATCAAGTAGCTCCGACTTGAATATTATTGAAACTTTATGGCATCGGATGAAAAAGACTTTGCGTAACAATCCTCAGCGTACAGTTCCAAAATTAAAGGCAAAAATCACCGAAATTTGGAACACTTTCACCCCCGAATATTGCAAGACTTTGGTAGATTCCATGTCAAAACGCATAAAAGCTGTTATTGCCGCGAAAGGTGATGTTACTTCTTATTAATGTTCGAAACAAGTAACGAAACTGAAAAAACTAGGTTATCCTAAAAAATGATTAGTTCAATCTATAAAACACTATTTGCCATTAGATCCCCAAGTGAAGAAAAATTTGCTTTAGAATTTTTCCCATCACCAGTCGGCCCGGTACTTGATATTTGGGGTGGTCACAGCCGCCTAGATAAAATTTTCAAGACTAAGTAAGAATTTTTAAAAAATAACATTTTTGAGAAAAATGATTGTATCTTCTGTAGAATAATCTCCTGAATCGAAAATTATATGCGTTCCTTCAAAATCCCGCAAAATTGACGCATGTATTTCCGAGGCCGGGAAGTATTTTTTTTTTCGAAAATAAATTACCGTGCGTGATCACAATACCACCAAAAAAAAATCCACAAAATATTTAACATAACTAATCCGCTCCTTATTAATATCAATGTTTCTTAAATTCATTTTTTTAATTTAATTTATTATTTAGTAATTTTTAATTATATATTCCATTTTATTTATTATCTGCTCCACCCATTCTCGTTAGAACAATGTTCGACACGCGACGTCACTGGTCCAACCCGACCGAATTCTTGAATAAAACGACGAATATTCGTCCATTAGAGAGACAGTGACCCATCGCGACGACATCCCCCGCATATAAACTCGATTAACAGGGATGCACTTTGCCAATTGCCTTCATCGAGAAGGGTTTTATTAAAACCGAGTATGCCGTTATTTAATTATTACCCGACATGGCCGACCATCGCGACATATATCTGCATAACAATCGTACATACGCAAATATTTAATAACGTTGCGAGTTTATTTTAAAATTTACAAATGTTCTTTAAATTTGAAAGCCGTATCGCAAATTTTTGACGATGTATAAGGCCAAATCGGATACTTTTAAAGAAAAGTCCCATTTCTATAGGAGATATATAAACTAATGTACATGGAGCTCGATTTTCATAAAATAAATGATGGTAAAAACCGCACAGTACGCTTATTTTTACAAAATCCCTATAATGGAATATTTTGTGCTTCTCTAAAAACATTTCCAAAGCAACTTTTTCAACGGAAAAATTGTTTTTTTTTATATGGGACACATTCTTAAATCATTGAACAGTCCACGAGTTGATTTGATACGGGCGGAGCGCAGCGGGCGAGTAATCAATAAACGAACGAAACTCACGTAGTAGAGTGACGCTTTCCGCACGCTAGATCGGTGTGTAATTAGGTATTTTACAGAAGGTAACAGAAAATATAATTTTACAACCTCAATATGAAAGTTAAAGACGCCAACAAGACTAGCAAAAACCAAAGTTATATGAACTAAAAAAAAGACTACCAAAAAAAAAAAAAAATATATATATATATATATATATATATATATATATATATATATATATATATATATATATATATATATATATATATATATATATATATATATATATATATAAATGTTTTTCTTCTTTTCTAATAAAATATTCTTTTGAAAATATTGAATATATTTATATTAAATGCTGCGTGAAAAGTTGTTCTGGGTGTTTCCATTTAAACTCAAATTTTTCCACAAGAAAGATACAGCGATTTTTTTAAATGCAAATTTTCGGAAACACCCCCATAATTCAGAAATCTAAACAAATGTTCACGTGCAGTTTCCACAATTATATGTTTTATTAGTTTTCTCCTCTATAAATGGGAGCTTTCATTCCCTTGCTCTGATTGCGACGCTTAAGTATTAGATTTGTTTTTCTGAAACATCGGACTGGAGAATAATTAAATTTCCACGAAGGAGAATACTTTTGAAAATGGCTTAAAAGGTAAATACGCTATTCCGCAACAATAATACGAAAACTGCATCAAAAAGTGAGGTTACGCTCGATTTTATGAGAGCGAAAACAATCGAAAGTCGCGGTACAGGTTTCCCGTAAATGTTTACGTTACGCGACTGACTCACCTGCGAAACCGACAACGGCAAAGTACACGAACCACAAACCCATCGTGCGCGGATTAAGTGTCCCAGTCACACGGCCACTCCCCCGTTTTATTCAAATTACAACGAAACTTTTAGTAAGAAACTTTTCGCGTGGAAACTTCGCCTGCGAAAAACGTTACGCCTGACGCGCGATACAATACCTACATACGAACCATTCGACGTTGACTGTTCCGCGCGGCTTGTCGGGATAGTTTGAAATTGTTCCGCATGCAACCTGCTCGGGAAAACTCGGAGCGCCTCGGAGAGCCACGCGTGGGCGGTGTATTTACTTTTTGCAGAATGGGAGTCGACGTTGATGACAAATTAGAGAAGTCGTTTTTTTTTCAGAAGTGCACCGATGCAATGTGAAATCGCTGGATAAATTGAATCGCGGTTTGCCGTGCATCGACGGAATAAAATCGGGTTAGCGGGTCTTTCTTTTCACAAAACTCTAAAAATTGCGAGGCGGAGCCGATTAAAATGACCTTTCGCATATTTATTTTATGATTCGATTAAATACTCCTGTTCGCGGTATTAAATTTTAATAAATCATGGCCCGTATATATTCCGATACCGTTTATGCAAATCGGGAATTTGTTTGAAAATTGGAAAATTAATGCCGTTACGCCCCGTCATAAAATATGTAACACGTGCGCTACTCACGCTGGCAAAATTTTTGCTTGTTAGAAAATTTAATTAAAACATCCGAACATGCAGCGCGATTTTCAACGGGTCCATCGAATACTAATTAAACATTCTATTTTTATTATATTGATTGATGTGCGAAACAGGCAACTACCCACTTAACGGCGCTTTATTTATTCGCGCCATATTTTTAAACTGGTAATAAATACCTTCGTTTCACCTCTTGCTACTTTAAGCGAACATGAATGATTGACAATAATTTCGCATTTTCGCAAGCGCCGCATACGTGTATAGGTATATACGCGTGCATGCACGTGACGTTCAACGGTTTTCTTGAGAATAACACAGATGGGACGATGAATTAATTATCTACGTCTTAACACACGTCACGGATAGGTAAGTACAAAAAGGGGGTCTTGTTTCTTTCAATTTGGATTCTTCACATAGCTACTGGACTAGGATTATTTCTACGTTTTAACGTAGAATGAACATATGGAAAGTAGGGTTAAAATAACCAGCTGGTCGATTCGAATGACATTCGATTGCAAATCAACAATCGACAAAATAATATAAACCCTTGCTTATTTGTACTCAATTAACTTAACTTAATTTATTCTTCCTAATATGCGCTTTCCAAGGGAGAATAAAATCTAATATCTTACCTGGGTTTCAACTGAGTTATTTTTTAGCAAAGTCAAAAGAAAAAAATAAAGACTACCAAGTAACGACCTTTGTTTTTTGAATAGTCAAAATCACTAACATTCCACATTCATTTTATTTACAATTTCATCTATTAAATAAATTCCACAGATTTATCAGTTTCATGATCAGAAAAAATAAATGGGTTAGTATGAATGTCAATCAACTTCTTCTGGCCTCACGGGATGAGTCAGCGGTATAATTGACTGCCGGCACATATCTCGGGTCAGTGCTTTTCTCATGTCTACAAAAATTATTTAAAAGGGGTCACTAAAATTGCATAAAATATTACCATAAGCATCTTCGTCTGGATCTCCGGAGTAGTATTCCAACACGGTGCGATACACAATGTAACCCAGGTTTTTATACATTTTAATAGCAACTTTGTTGCTTACCCTAACAAATAAGTCCACAAAATAGGCCCTCTTCCTTAAATTGAAACAAACTTAAGCCTTGTCGGACCAGAAAAATTAACCTTACCTCTCAGAGATATCCTCCAAGTAATACATAAGAGTGCCGGCAAGACCCATGCGCCTGAAATCGGGCGAAACCGTTAGAGCAGTTACATGACCATGCCAATTTTCGCCAACCCCTTCTGCTTTGCCCATTACTACAGCAAAAAATTTAACATCCCATATAACACACAGTGATACTCTTACTGTATCCCATGATCTCGCCACTCGGCGATTCTGCTACTTGGAAATATTCCGGCCAGTGCGCTAAATACTGCATGTAAAACGACAGTCCATAAGTTTCGGTGAGAGGATCTAAATTCCTGAAAAAATATGATAGGCACAGCGTACAAAAATTATGATAATTACTTACACGTTGTTGAACTTATACATGTCGTCGCAAGTGAATGGTCGTAAAGTGGTCATTTTTATATTGGAAAATAACTAAAAATATTTAGTTTATGTACATGTATTCCAATAACTCAAAAATATCAATTCAATTATGCGTTTCACAGAAAACTGTTAGGCACGACTACCAGGATCATTCGCCCAAAACCTCAAAGATATCAAGAACTGTTCCTCAATTTTCTTCTTCTTTTTAATGAGGAGCTAAGCTAACGTCTGACTAGACGGCCGCCCAAAACGGGAAGTTCCTTTATTTTCTCATTAGTGATACAATTTGACGTTTACTTGCTTTTTTTCGTTGATCTGCATAAACAGCAAACAGACCACCATGGATGAAAATAAATTTGAATTATTCATATTTTCGCAAAATAACCTTTAAAAGAACATCCATAAACAATTTATTAAACATTTAAATATGATTTTTATAAAAAATAAGATTAACAATAATTGTATGGCGTTCCAAAATGATGAGAGATTTATTACATAAAAATAAACAATATTCAACAACCAACCCCTACTCACAAAAAATTTGACACTGGAGACAATATTTACAATGTTAGTTTAGAAAGTTAAGTTACAAATTTACAGCCCTGAGTGTAGAAATATATGACATATGGGCGCAAAACACAAAATAGATGTAATCTTAAATTTTGAGACCAAACACCATACTTAAAAACTGCTCATAGTGTATTGTTATATATCCATCCTGATCTGTATCATATTGGCGAAATGCAGCAGTTAAAGTCTACAAATATATGCACAAATAGACAGCATATTGACTATTTAACAACTGGTTTACTTACATACAAAACTATGCAGGCTTGTATAAAATCATCAAACAGTATTGTTCCATTTCCATGTCTGTCAAATTTTCTTAACATTACGCTAATAAGGTTATCTGAAAGCCTATAACCAAATGAAGTAAGGGCAGTTTTCAGTTCCTCTCTATCTATATTGCCAGAATTGTCCCTATCAAATGATCTAAAGCAGTTTTGCCAGTCTGTTACATATTTCCACAAGGCACCAAAATCTTCAAAGCTTATTTGACCTTTATTGTGGCGATCAAACATGCCAATCATTAGTCTAACAGTCTCAGGATTAAAGGGGCTCCATGTGCCATTCGATAACGCCTGTTGCAGTTCGTCTGCGCTAATATACCCACTTCTGTCTCGGTCTACCCTTTGGAAAACATCCCACAGGAACTCTCTACTCGGCATCGGCGACTGAAATGTCATCGTACTTCTCTAGCCACTAACAAAGTGTCCGAGATTTTATTGTTTTCGTAGTATTAGTCACCGAATAAAAACCCCAAGCAAAATTCTAGGAAAAAGTTTTCTTCGGCTTGTTTGATTTACGGTGTCGCACTCAGAATAGTTTTGGTAAGTTTGTTGCACTAATTTGTCAATGTCACAATTACAATTCAAATTTGGTAATATTTTTCTAGTTGCAAGAGAACACTATTAGAGTCCGGTAGACATAAAGACAATGAATTTTATCCTATATTTAATAGAATCCGTAGGAATAATAAATAAATTCCTGTTCTGCAATGTTTAAATTCTGAGAAACTTGTTGTCAAATGAAAGCCAAAATATCTGTTATCTGTGAATCTGACATAGTTTTATGTTAGTTGTCTGGTCTGTGTTGTAAACAGAATTAAGAAATAAATTAGCTGAGTTTAGGGCTTACTTGTTGATTGTTTTATAACGAAATTGTAAAGAAATGGCTGCCCCAAATCAAGAGTTTTTATGGGGAATTTTTCAGAGGTAATGTGGGTTGGAGAATTCGATAATTCGCCGTGAGATTAAAATATAACTTTTAGTGTTGATCGGGATAGGAGCGGGTACATAAATACAGAAGAATTGCAACAAGCGCTCTCCAATGGAACATGGAGTCCTTTTAATCCGGAAACTGTGCGACTTATGATTGGTTTGTTTAGGTGGTTCAGCATGATAAAAGCGATATAGAAGTTATTTTTTAGGCATGTTTGACCGCCACAATCGCGGCCAAATAAGTTTTGACGATTTTGGTGCTTTGTGGAAATATGTTACCGATTGGCAAAATTGCTTTAGGTCTTTTGACCGAGACAATTCTGGTAATATTGATAAAAGTGAGCTAAAAACTGCCCTTACGACATTCGGATATCAACTTTCCGATGGTCTAGTAGATACTCTCGTAAAAAAATTTGATAGGTTCGGCAATGGGACCATACTGTTTGATGATTTTATACAAGCCTGCATAGTTCTGCATGTGAGCATTGATGATTGTTTTTCAAATATTTATATGTGTCTTAATTGGTAAATTTTAGACGTTAACTTCTGCATTCCGACAATATGACACAGATCAAGATGGATACATTACAATCCACTATGACCAATTTTTAAGTATGGTACTCAGTTTGAAAATGTGATTATTCTAGTTTTCTGTTTATCTTATTCTTTGCCTTTATACTGCTTAAGTTGGCGTTTTTTTTACATTGTTAAAAATTGTATCCAAACAAATTTGATTAGTTAAGTTAGCGTTTTTTTACATTGTTAAAAATTATATCCAAACAAATTTGATTGCATAAATTTTGTGTTTGTTATTTTTTTTAAGTAAATAATTTTATGTTAAGTATTCTCAGGTGGTAAAAATTAAAAACTTAGTATGATTCTGGTTTCATTTCAAATTTCCAAAACATTTCATTTGTTAGCTACTAGACCTTACTAAACTTAATTAAAACAAATATTTTGCAGAATTCTTGAGCGGCCAAAAACTCAATTACCTTTATCGTTAATTAATAATAATTTTTTCCATGGAAAGGTTGAAATATTTATTTTGTTAGCTGCGTATGGGCGAATGACCCTAACAATTTTGTTCAAATCTTTATAGGTTACGTTATCGGTTTATTGTGTTACATTAGTTTAAAGATAATTTTTATCGACATCAACAAGCACAATAGTTTTATAAATTATTATGGAGGACTCACGAGTCAATAATACCCTGTCAGTCGAATACGTAGAATCAAAATTGGAAGATTTTTTAAGTGATTTGAATAGCAACATAAGAATATCTATGTTATCGTTTAACCAGGCAGATAAGGAACGTATGAAATATCTGTTTGTCAAGCTAAAAATAAGCGTTAAAGACACTTTGCGAGAACTGCAGGTTCACAACAGGGAAAATTACGAATTTTTATGTGGATTGTGTGACAAAAAAATTTTCATTGAATTGGGTAACGCAAATGTTTGGGATTCTCTGCAAACGCATGAACATTTTGAGCAATTGTACGTCGACTTTTTAACCGCACGTTTACAGTTAGACAGTGAAAGTGATATGGCAATGGCATCTGATTCAAATACGGACAGTAGCATTGAGCAACCTGAGAAAGAGCCATCTGGTAATGCGTCAGGCACCTTGTCCACCTCAGTCCAGGGTTCTTCTTCAAGCAGATTAGATAAAGCAGACGTTAACAATTTTAGATTTAATTTTCCATTGGAAAAGAACCATTCTGAGATTAAAAACAAAATTTATCCATCTAACTTAATGACCTATGTGCGGAGTTATGATAGAGTTCAGGATTTTACAATTCAAAGGGCAGGACCCATGCGTGCTTCATGCTTAATATGCCCCTGTGAAATGAATGGAATAAGAGTTTCCAAGTTTATCCTGGCAAACCATGCGATGGGTCAGAAACATATGAAGGCCGCATCCAATCCAGAAGTATTGAAGATTTTACAAAATTTTCACCTGAGTTGGCTTAAAGAGGAGACCAATATTCAGGCGCACCAGGTATTTTTTAGACCAAAAACCTTTAATCACTTGACTTGTCTCCTGTGTCACAATTCATTAGAGGGCAAAGACTTGAAGGCGCACATAAAGGGTGACAAGCACAAGAAAAATGTCTTGGATTTAGTTGAAAAGAACAACCCTAATTATTTGGCAAATTTGCAAATTGAAGTGTACGGTATCACACAAGAAAAAGTCCAATTAAACGGTAAAGAAGCACGGCCTGGTAGGAGGTTTATACCAACCAGAAGAAAATCGACAAAACCTTTGGAATTGGACACGCGCGAGGGTAGGTTATGTTGTGGGGTGTGGCCCAAAATGTGAATTACATTATTGTTATCACTTAAGTATAATTATCTCTTAGATAGTCCCGAACCTGAAGTTCATAACATTATCAAAGCAGTTAATGACATGTCAAGTGTAGACCTGTTGAAACTGTTGCCAAACAGGATGAAAAACGACTTGCAATTTCTTGAAATGGTAATCAAGGGCAAACAGTCCTCCATAAATTGCAGGCTGTGTGACTGCACTATACCGGAAGACTTGAGAGCTTTAATGGCTCATTTGGCCGCGTCCATCTTGCACATACAGCAACGCAATCAGAAGTACACCTACTTCTGCGAAATATGCAACGTCAGAATTAATTCCGAACAGAGTTGGATTCAGCATGATTTCGGGGGACCTAGGTGAGTTTTTTTGCCAACGCGCTCTTGATCCCATGTAACTTGAGGAAATCCCAGGCACAAAAGCATGGCCGAAAGTCGGAAGTTGAGGGTAACTGAATATGAATGCACCACATGCAATGCTGTCATCTTCGGGGACGAATTGTCATTGACACGTCACGTGGCTGGTACCAGGAAAAGAGGAAAAAAGGAAGGTAAGGTCTTGAGTACAGAGATTTTCGCAGCGTGGTCAAGTTGTGTTATTGTTAATTATGGTTGACTGACATACTTAATTTACTGGCTTTTCTCTAGCAATGAAAGGACCAAAAATGAAATGAAATCTGGCAGCATTGTCACTAGTGTGATTTAGGTAAAAAGTTTAATTTTTCAAAGAAGCTTCTACTGTAATGCTTTTTACAAAACTTCTGGATTCCTCCTACTTGGGTTTTTCCTTAGTCGAAATTGCTGACGTTTCGCCAATCATCCTGTTGGCTTCTTCAGAGCTGGACTGAAACTGGCTCGTATTTTACTCTGTACTTGCTTATATATTGTATATCAAAGACAAAATTCCATTTGAGACGCCACGAGTTTACAGTATTCCATGCATATGCGACATTGGAGAGACCCGATCAACTAGGCTCAAAGAAAACGAAAGAACCTTACGACTAAGACAAATAAACCATCAGCTGTTGCCGAACACACTCATGAAACCGGGGATAAAATTTTATTCGATAAAACTAAAATTCTTGCATGTAATCAGTTGTTTTACCAATGAAAAATCCGAGGGTCTATAGAAATCTATAAACAACCTAACAATCTTAACCGCGACCTGTCACCAATTTGGGAATCAGGCAGCCGAGACGGTGATTATAACCCTCATTAGCGCCCCCCTCAAACAATATATAAGCAGGTACAGTCAGTTTCAGTCAAGCTCTGAAGAAGCCAACAGGATGATTGGCGAAACGTCAGCAATTTCGACTAAGCAAAAACCGACGCAGGAGGAATCCAGAAGTGTTGTAAAAAGGTAAAAAGCTTGCTAAAGCAGGAAAAGCAAACCAGAAAAAACTAACCAAAACTAAACTTGACAAAAAAATATTAATACAAGCGACATGTCAAGCGTCTTTTATGCATAGAATGAACTAGAAGAAAAAATAACATTTTGTCAAAATATAAATACTTAAAGACTGAAACTAATATTACAATTACAAAGGAACAAAAAAAAGTTGAATATACATAGTGCCTCCATTGCCAACAGAAATAAAATAATGGTAAGCTTCTAGGTCAACAAAATCGCCCAAATGTTGTTGATTATTTATAATTTTCTTTCGAGATCGCTAATTGCCATTTTTGTGTGTTTTGCACGGCATTGGAAGCTCGTTAAAGCATTAAGTTGGTCTAATCTGCATCGTCAAGTCAATTACAGCTCAATCTAGGAATAAACCTCCAATATTCTCGACCAATCGAGCCAAGGATACTTAAATTTAACGAAAGTAAAAGTTTCCTGCTTTACGCAACTAAGTAAAATTTTCCTAAGAGTACAATTAATTACTTGTAATTTATACTCATCTGTTTTCATCTTTATAGTACATCCGCTTGCAAAAACGATTTAAATTGTAGCAAAAAATCAAGGTCATGTAAAGATTAAACCCCTTTTTTGTTTATTTATTTTTCTCTTTCTTTGCGGCGCCAGCGTATTCAGCTATAACGATCTTTTAAAATGAGTTCTAACGCGATCAAAATTAAACAATACAAGAGGCCTAATACCAAATAAATGAAGTTAAATCAAATGAAATAAAAAACTTTTACCGATTGCTCTTTTAAGAGAGGGTACAATTTCAAGTGATATACACACTTTGATACAAGAGAATTCGATTTTCGCAAAAATCATTAAAATCTGTAGCCCTATTACAGGTGATCTTTTTATATGTTTAAGTCTTTGCTGTAGGAAAACACATCCCTAACGGACATCGAATAAGATTTAATTTAATTTTAAAGTTGACCAAATTTTCAACTTTGTTTAACTTGGTTATATTAAACTTAACGTTACCAGCATTTATCAGCAGAATTATTTTAATATTGCTGTTATTTTATGCGACTTTTGTATATGTTGATATAAAAATGCTACACTTTTTTGCAATTATTTCTATGTGTTTTTCATATGTAAAATTTAAAATTTTAGGTTAAATTAAATGTCCGTATAAAAGCCCAAAAATAAAATTGAATCTTAAGTTAAATGCTAAATTAAATTAAATGCTCTATAAACTCACCTTTATATCAGAACCTGAATTCGTAGCAAAATTCCACTTGTGGCAATTTGAGGCTATAAAATTCCAGTGCTGATTGGAAAACTCTACTGATCAGGAGTTTGGCCTAGGAACCTAAATTAATAGCAAAATTCAAACAAAATTTTCCCGTTAAAACATGTGTTTAGTAACGTATCACCCTGAATACTTAGGTAATTTTTGTCCTGCATTTGTGGTCGCGTTGAACTACTTTTGCTGATGGTTGTAGCAAGTAGTTTATTTGAACTATACATTTTGTGTCACAATCGTGGCATAAATTCAATAAGTCTTATTAAAAATAAGTATATTAGTATTTAAATAGAACACTGTTTAGAATGAGCTCTATAAACACCAATGCTGATTTATTATCATTTATACACATATAGGTAGAAATTCCGTTTTTGTATTTAAAAATAGATCAATAAGCAAGAAACGAGATTAGAAAATATTGACCTAATAACCTATTACCTACTTATTTTTGATTTGTTTATTTAATTTTTGATCTGGAAGAGATTCCTATTGAGATTCACTTCTTCTGTATGCTTTTAGCCATTTTATTCGTCGGTTTTTATTTCCCGATACGCGAATGAAAATTTTATCTGATCCAGTGTTTATTACGAGTAGTTTACATAATAAACACTTTAAAACCGAGACTAACGATGCAAATTTGGTTAGAAATCAATGTGAAATGCTTATGTTAACGTAAATCGAGTCACTTTTAAATTCATATCTTGCATCAGAAAGAAAAGTGGCTGCAACTCTCTGATCCAATTATTTATGCTATGGTTCTATTAATCACTGACACTTTTAAATGGCGAATCGCCAGAATTTTAGAAATACAACAGTCTCAACTAAGCAAGGAACTTACGTTAGTTAAGCTATATATATATATATATATATATATATATATATATATATATATATATATATATATATATATATATATATATATATATATATGATGACACTATATTCCGGGATATCATCCGTTCGCTCGTTGAACTCCGACTGGAATCCTGCATCCGACTGGAATCCTGCAAATCTTGCATCCGACTGGAATCCTGCAGACGTTTCGCCAAAATCTCACTTGGCATCTTCAATGCTCGCGCTCCGAAAACACTTCGTTTTCGGAGCGCGAGCATTGAAGATGCCAAGTGAGATTTTGGCGAAACGTCTGCAGGATTCCAGTCGGATGCAAGATTTGCAGGATTCCAGTCGGATGCAGGATTCCAGTCGGAGTTCAACGAGCGAACGGATGATATCCCGGAATATAGTGTCATCACATTTTTCCATCCGTGAATCAATACGTGAGAATATATATATATATATATATATATATATATATATATATATATATATATATATATATATATATATATATATATATATATAAACTTTTATTTGTACAATAATTAATATTCTCTTGGGATCGCTTTGTGCGATTCTTTTAATGTTTTGGTTAGTACAGGTTGGACAATTTTTTAGTAAGTCCAGCATTCCAATTTCATAAATACTTGTAGAATTTCTTGTCTCATAAAGTTGTATTTCAGCCAAAAGATTACCGGTCGGGGTAATGGCTTTGTTCAAGTCCAAACAGGCTATATTATCGGAAGCGGACCGTTTGGTGGCCGAAACCGAAGAGCTGGTCGCCCTCAATTCGATGCGAGAGTGCTGCGCAGATTTGGAGCGAAGCCTAAATGAGGTGTTCGAGCAGTGCAAAGTCTACCCATTCGGATCGCGGATATCCGGTATCGGTAACAAGGTCGGCGCGTTTGAACTACTTTCTCACAAGTAGTTGTAAAAAGGTCTTTTTTCCAGGATAGCGACTTGGACGTGTTCGTGGATGTCGGCGACATGTACCTCGGCCTCCAGTTACAGGATCCGCCTGACCAAGTGCAATTGATCAGACGCGCCGCCAAAGCGTTCAGAAACATGAAAGTCTACACAGAGTTAGTGCAGATAACGACGGCCAGGACGCCTATCTTGCGATTATATCACAAACCTACCGAAATAGCATGTGACCTGTCTTTCCGTCACGGTCTCAGCGTGGAGAACACGAAATTTCTGAGGCTGTGCCTCGAGCTGCAACCCGTCGTGAAGCAGTGCATCTTGCTGTTAAAAAGATGGGTCGGTTTCATCGGGTTCGAAAAAGTAATTACATACGCATTCGCCCTGATGGCGATATTTTATCTTCAGACGAATCATTATCTTCCTTCTGTGGCGACTGTTAGGAAGATGAGCAAAGGAGAACCTTTGGTCATTGGCGGTTAGTAGTTCAAAGAAGATTTCGGTATTTTCTTCACTTTTTGATTTCTCGCGCGCTAGCTTTCGGGGCTACGTTTACCTCTTCTTCATCTTAGGTTGGAAAACGATCAGCAATTGCCCGCCCGTTGGTGAGATCCGTGGTTGCGTGAAAACTTACCCCGACACTGTAGACGTGTTGCTCAAGGAATTCTTCGCGTATTATGGCAAATTCGATTTTAATAATTACGTAGGTTTTCGGTTTGAACTAGCGATTTTTTTTTTAAATTCTTTTTCCAGGTGGTGTGTCCTTTGGTGGGTTATACAGTGCAAAAGTCCAAGTTTATGGAGGACAACGGAAGGCAGTTGCCCGCCGAAATGGAGCCTTATCTGCAGCAATTGGAAAATGCAGAGTATGAATTGTTTAGGGCCAACGCGTTTATGTGTATTCAAGACCCGTTTGATTTGAGCCACAACCTGACAAAGGCGGCCCAAAGGGGCACCGTGCAGAAGTTTCAGACAATGTGCGCGTTGACGCTGAAGTTTTTGGAAGGCGGCAACGCGTAGTGCTATTTTTATTTCTATTTTAAGTTGTCCTAAAGGGTAATTCAACCTACTCTGCTTATTTTAATTTTTTTGTTTGTTGTAGGGGAAATTTTCTTCTATTTTAACCGTGTGAGTTAATTGTGTATTTTAACGGGAAAATATAACTTTATTTTATGCTGCAGCTTCTCATTGAAATCCCATTCGGCAATACAATATCAATTCGTGAAATATCCCTTTTTTAACACCCTGTATAATTGACGCACCCATAATCATCGTAAACCGACTAATCGTCGCAACGAATTATTTTGGCATAACCGGAATTTATGATTGAATGATTGCAAAGGAAGTTTTAAAAAATTTTATCGTTATTTATAACCGCAAAGAATTTTTTTTCCTTAAAACATTAGTAATGTATCACCCAGAATACTTAGCAAATTTTTGTCTTGCAATTGTGGTCGCGTTGGACTACTTTTGTCTGGTTAATGTACAGTAGTTTATTTGAACTTTTTGTGCCACAATCCCAATAAATTGTGTTTTCATATTGTTTATTTTTCAGTAGTTTAAGGTAAACCACCCTGTAAGAAAAGGAAGGCAAATGAATGTTTGGGACGCGGTTTAGAACGAAAACGCAACTTTTTTTAATCGAAAATATTTATATTTAATAACAAAAATTCATAGATAAATTGCGCGTTAAAATTTACCTGTTATTATTAATATTTGAATATTTTCCTTAGAAAAATAACAGAAAGATCACATTACGGGAGTAAAATGGAAATAAGTTATGTGTCATACTAAATTACACCTGAACGTCTTTTAATTATGAAACAGTTAAGTTTTAATCGAGAATTAAGTAAAATTAGCAAAACATAAAATTTAAATAAATAAGTGATTCGAATGTAAATTCCGAGTATTAAATAAAATCCTAGGAAGCGTTGAGACTGTACGCCGCTGGAGGATGCAAGGCAAGGCTAAGGCCCCAGAAAAATAATGTCCCTGAAGTGTCTATCTACAACGCGGCAGTCTTCTTCGCTAACTGTTTCCGGAGTCGTAGTAGATGGTCGATCTGTTACTTCTCGGATCACCAGCGTCGCTTTGGGCGTCGTGGTAGATCGACGCGTTCCCAGAAAGTAACGAATCTCTTCGTCGAGCTATAAAAAAACAATATTTCGTATGTAAATAGGTTTAAATAACTTTTTACATTATTTGTTAAAATAAACAAGATCTATCTCATTGATGCTTTGTGAAACATCAAAACCGTATAATTTGTTTTTTTTTCTTCCATAGGCTACTATAATACTTCTTACAAAACTTCTGGATTCCTCCTGTGTCGGTTTTTTCCGAGTCGAAATTGCTGACGTTTCGCCAATCATGCATGTAATCAGTTCTTCTACCAACGAAAAATCCGAGAGTCTATAGAAATCTATTATGCCATGCCCCTCATTTAACTCCGCCCCCCTCAAACAATATATAAGCAGGTACAGAGTAAAATACGAGCCGGTTTCAGTCAAGCTCTGAAGAAGCAAACAGGATGATTGCCGAAAAGTCAGCAATTTCCAATCCAGAAGTTTTGTGAAATGTACTCCATGTACCAAATTACAGGTACCTAATTAATCCAAGAATTACAGCTCCCTAACTCCTACTAACTAAAGAATTAGTATATAAAAGTAGTGAGTGAAGTCTAATCAATAAACTCACTTTTCTTCGCCCTTTGTCTCGCCCTCTCCGTCTCGTTCTTGATTATAATCTCGTTCACTTTGTACGCTTCCCTCTTGATGCGGTCGTTCAATTTCCTGCTGACGTCGGGTATGGTCCATTCGACAACGGTCATTACAAAACCGACAAGATTTTGGTAGACTACGATGAAAGCTAATCGGGCAGCCAGTATGTGCCAGTAGATAAGAGGCCTCTTGTACTTGTACTCGTGATCGGGCGGGTTCCTGTACTCAGCGTATCGACACACTGACACGTTGTATGACGTTGTCTCGGGGGCGGTACCAGTCTTAAAATCGGACGTGTTGAAGTACGCGAGACTAAAGTCCAGAAAACCGGCATCGTTGCGCGCCGTCGGATTGACCTTGAGAGCATAGACGAGTTTCGGGATGAAGTGGGAGGAGAACGCGATGATGAGGGCGTTGGAGACCACAGCGATGCGGCCAACGATGGCGAGGATCGGGTACCATACGCCGATGTTACGCACGCGCTGCGGTACCGGACGGCGGTAGTATTTGATGAACTTTTTTGCGTCGAGACGCATCTCCAGAACGTTATTGATAAGGGCGAAAAGGGGCGCGAGCGGAAAAGCCGCCACGAAAATCGTGACGAAACCGTACTGCAACACTGAGAGAATTTCGGTAGCGTGATAAAAAAATTACTTTGAACTTATCAAAACGTAAAACAAAAATTAATAAAACAAATCAAAGTTAAAAAACGTCATATACTTTTATTACAAAAAAACATTTTTTACAGCAATTGGTTTTTTGATAATAAATGCATTACACTATTTAAAATGCATTATTCGATAAAGACTTGCAATATTAGTTGAACTAATGTTAAAAATAATTTAAAAATGCGTGCTGGGTAGCGCCTTGTGAAAAACGTAATCCAAATTTTTGGGAAAAATATAAATAGTATGTATTTTCACCTATACTTATTTTTGTACAATAATTTTGTTAACCTACTTAGATAATGAAATTAAAAATTTTAAAAATTATATTATAATGAAATTAAGTACTACAATAACTCTGGATTTTTTTTATCGGGACTGGATTTTGAATAACAATGATAAAATACATTACATCATAAAATAATTAATAATTTTCCGATAGTAAAAACTAAAAAATGTGATTTTAATAAAAAATATTTGTTTTTAATGAAGGAACTTTTAATTCTTATTTTTCTAGCTTTTAGAAGATAAAGATTCAAAATGTTAAAAAATTAAACTAAGTAAAATTAAAATAATTCTGAACACTATATTTAAAAATACGTTTTGCATTACGGATTACTGCATGTAAGAAGCGCTCAAATTTCCAGTAAAAAAAATTATTAGATTTTTTAAAGAAACCTCCACAGGCTACTGTAATACTCTTTAAAAAAACTTTTGGATTCCTCCTGAGTCAATTTTTGTTGATTCGAACTAGCTAACGTTTCGCCAACCATCCTGTTGGCTTCTTCAGACCTTGACTGAAACTGGCTCGCGCACCTGTTTGAGGGGGGAGGAGAACATTGCCTCGGATGGCTGATTCCCATATTGGTGGCAGGTAAAGACCTGAGTCGCGGTTATGATTGTTTGGTTGCTTATAGATTTCTGTGGATTATCAGATTTTTCATTAGTAGAAAAATTAATTATATGCAAGAACTCTAGTTTTATTCAATAAAATTTTATGTCCGGTTTCGTGACTACGTTCCGCAAATGATGATGAGTTTATTTGTCTTAGTCTTAAGGCTCCTTCATGTTCTTGGAGTATAGTTGATATTTTTCGTCCGGTCTCTAAAAATCTATTTTATTGCCGCATATGCACGGAATGCCGTAAACTCCAGGTATCTCAAACGGAATTTTGTCTTTGAGATGCTTGGACAAGTGGTAAATCTGGTTTTGATGTTACATTTTTTAAGAACTCTTGATATGTGCTCAGGCATGTTTTCAATGTTTTCATTGTCTTAAATCGCTAATGTGGAAGTTTTTAGAGAGAAGAGCAGAAGTAAAGTGTTTTGATTTTAGGTTCAGTGACTCGTGCTGAGATAGACTTACGGCTCGGTAAACAATAGAGTTAATAACCGATGATTTTAGCGTCGGATGATGATGTAACAATGCATTAAAGGATCAGATTTGTTTGGGTCATTCTGTTTTTTATTTACGCCCTTCATTTAGCTCCGCCCCCTTCAAACAATATAAACAAGTACAGAGTAGAATGCGAGCCAGTTTCAGCTAAGGTCTGAAGAAGTTAACAGCAAGTTCAATTCAACAACAACCGACGCTGGAGAAATCCAGAAGTTCCGTAAATAGCAAAAATTATTGGAATTCAAAAAGTCGACTCACCCATTTCCAAATATTCGGCAAACAAACTTTGAGATTCTAATTCAGACAGTTTGTAATCCTCGGTCCATTGGTTGCAGCTCACTATCAGCTCTTCTTCTTTTTCAGCACGCTCGATGCCTGTGGTCACGACGAACGTCTGGTACATTTTGAAAAGGAGAGGAATTATCATCTCCAATATCGTGTTGACCGCCTGCTTGCCGATCATTATGATAGCAAGTTGCATAGTTAGCTCCATGAGGCAGCCGCCAGGGTTGCACTGGAACCACATTGACACGGTTGTCGATACAACATTTAAATTATTTCAAAACGTAAATAACAAAAGGGAACGCCTACAGTTTTGGTTATTTTGTATTTTATTTTATGTATTTTATACATAAAATTTTTAATTTTTTAATTTAATAAAATTGAATAATTGAAATAACAGATCATTAAAATAAATTACATTTTTGTATATGTCTATATTTCGACAATTACTAACGCGAGAATTTCAAATAAAAATGGTATATTATGCAACAAATGCGGTAAAACGGCATTTGAGTCACGAGTCTATTTGGCACGAGCAAAACGAGTGTTTAATAAACGAGTGATATATATACTTTTTTCACGACCGTTAGTTTTTAAGTGAATTTTTGCAAAACAACACTTCACTAACATGACCGTCAAAACTGACAAACGTCAAAATTTAAGCGATGCGGTAAAATCTTCGAAAAAATCCGATTGCTCCCAGACCCGTGGTAAAATCTTGGAATGGGCTCGGATCCGTGGGACAAGAAACTCACGTGGTAATCCCATTTGATGTTTAAAAGGTATTCCAAATTCAACAAAAAAAAATGTAGACTAATATTGAAATTGTGATTTTAAAAAATTCTTAGTCATTTTACACACTGTATCTTCTAAACGATGCAATTTAAGAGATATTAGATTTTTCATAGAAAGTGGCTTCCTACCGACTAAATTTTTCACGAAAAACCTCGTCAGTCTTGTTTTATAATATTGTGATTTACAAAACAGACAAATGTATTATTGCATTAGCAATAAAAAAAAACGTTTTACCATTATTATAAGTAGAAATATCAAAAAACTCTTTCAAAAAATATTAATTGAACAAAATCGTAATAAAATTATTTATGGAAATTGTGTTGTATATTTAAGCACAATTTTTAAGTAGAATGAAGACGAATTAAAAATAACACAGTGTATCAAATACGCATCCAACAGTCAGATTCAAATAATAATAACAATGAAATATCAAATGAATGACGTAACCTTGCAGCTTATATTAACGTTTTTTCAACGAACGAACTGAGATAGGCCCGCCCCTCTCGCTCACCTCCTCCTGACGGTATCCGAAAACTTTGTTGTACTTGGATGGGTATCCCACAAATTTGCCCTTGAAAAACGCGATATAAAAAATAGACGAATAATAATTGACAAACTGAAACATGTAAATTTTCAGTGCCAAACTGTCATCGAACTCGGTCTGTGTCCGTTGGAGCTCCATCTCTGTCAGCCATACCGCCAGCCTGTCGTACGCCATATTTAAAACTACAATGCACACGAGATTGATCACGCCCGCCGTCACTGGTACCACGTATATCCGGAAGCTAGACCGGTCGTTGTACAAAGTGTCGGACGTGAGTAAAGACATTCTGTATATGACCACGCCGACGACCACGCCGAGAGCAATGAAAACCCAAAAGAGGGCGACCGTGAAACTGAGTATGATGGAGGGTAGTTTGACTCGCCAAAACGGTACCACCGGTTCCTGGAGCTGCGTCACTACATTCAGTTTGCGTCGCTTTGCGTTTGATAATCGCAAGAAGTACTCTGGTCTGGGCGGCTCCGCCTGCAGATCGAAACCGGTCAGGCCCCACCGGTGAGTAACTTCGGCGCTGTATCTGAAATAGATACAAAGCTAAAGCCCGGAATACACGATGCAATTGATTGAACAGTTGCTGTTAAAAATGATGGCAATTTTTTATGCAATTTGTTCGAACAAAATGAGTTTGATTATTTTGGCGAAATTTTGTTTTTAAGGGTTATTTAAAATTTGATACAATGAACCATACTTTTTAGTGTTTGCTAGCGCCAAGTAGCTAATCTTTATGCAAAAATGTTTTTACGATACATATAAGGGTGAATAATCCCACTACTAGAAATGAGACTGTTGCTTTGAAGTGCTGAATACAATCCATATATTCATAAAATCAATTTCTGTGTTATTCTCTTAAATTTAAGACTAATTTAGGTTACATATTGAAATACAGTTTTTTTTTAACTAATTGTTTATTGACTTGTTTTATAATAGTTATTCTCTTGGTTATATTTTGCAATACCTACAGTTTTTTAAACAAATTCTCCATTGGCACTTTTTATAATCATATATTTGGAAGGCGAAACTTTCATCTGAAATTACAAGACTTGCAAAGTTAAAATAAAAAAAATAGTTTAATGTGCTTTTTCGAAGGACCTGGTATAAAGCTCAGAATTGTAAAAATGGCAAAGCGTGAACACAAAGCCAAATAAGGAAACAAATAAACGACGCTTTTGGTGGTTTTCGCGTGACTGGTCACGACTAGGAAATTTGGAAAAAGGCAAGAACCACCTTTGCGCGCTGCGCATGCACCAAGGAACTTTTCAGTTCCTAGGGGGTGGGGAGGAAATTAACAAGCGCGCTCGACGGGCATAAAAGGAGCAGGTAAGCGCAGGCGCTGTTCAAAATTTTAATTTTAATTTTCGTCAATTTATACAAAAGTACAAATTCAAAACAACAATAAAAATTGGCATCCGAAATAATTCTTTCAAAAATGTATTGGACACTTACACACGTAAAATCAGTTTCATTTGTTGGGCAAAACCTATTGAGTATTGTATTGAGGGAGCAAAATTTTAACTAACGGTCGATCAAGGAGCCCTTTTAACCTGAACTACCCTCGGGATACTATCGGGACTGGAATAGATTTTCATGATACGATCGGAGAGGAGGTTGATTGCTATCTTTGACAGCAACCAGCGAACCTACTCTGGGGGAAGCGTCGGACAAATTCCATTTATTGCGATGTTGTAACGTGTTGAGATATTCTAGAGACCACCTTTTCTAAGAAGATTTGGTCGATCAATCACCACCGCATCAATCGGCTGACAGGAACATCGTCCAACCGTTGATCTGGAGGGATGGGGTCAGTGCTTCAAGGATAAGAAAATAACTTAGGGTGAGAGACTCGGGATCGTTTGAATCGGAACTCATTTCATAGAGGGGATGGGAGATTAGAGCAGCCTCGGATAGAGCTAATACAGTGGAAATCTCCTTAAAAGACAAAATCTGCTGTCTAATTATGTGGGACTTTAAGGACTTTACACCTGACTTCCACAAACTTTCAAAATGGGGCGCGGAGGGGGAATTGAAGTGCCATCTGATGAACAGATGCTCCGCCGAAGATTTCATGTAAGAAAGGGTTGTTTTATTTGCACCAAAACGCCTTTAATTTAATTTTAATTGCAAGCTACTTTGACATACGCATTTTTTTCATAATCATGTTGCATTACAACATTTTGAAACAGTTCAACCTTATATATCATGCCGTTTCGAGAAGCCGTTGAAATACATCTGGTGCTGTTTTACAAATAAATGCCTTGCTGTCACATCAGCCTCGGCAGATTTATTACATTTAATGTGACCCTGATTGGCAGAACAAACATTGTTGTCAAGTAATGGAGGTTGGAGATGGTGATTTTACAGATAGTGCTTTTGATTTGTAACCCCTTCAGATATGTTCTGTAAGTTTAGGCGAGGGTTTGGCTCGTGTTTCGTTAAGTAAAACACTTTTCCAGGGCTCGACGGTACGGTTTAAACATTTGGTTAAATTATATATATTTTGAAATTGTTCTATCACTACATTCTATTTCAAAATGGAGGGAACATTAAATTGAATTGAGTAAATCCATGTTTTGGGAAAATGTAATTAATTTTCGGAGTTTAGAAGCAGAAGCATTATGGATCGCAAGTCAATAATCTGTGGCTAAAATACAAAATATTATAGGCAACAGAATAATTATTCAACAAGACTTTGATTGAGAAAGGAGCTTTCACTCTTTTGGCCATTCTTGGCGCACACATTGATAGGACGAAGGAGTTCTCACGCGATCTTACTCAGAGAGTATCGCATATCGTCAGACTTTGTCAAATTTTGTGTTTCATCGTTTGTCATAGAAACAATATCTAAATGAAGGGATTCGAACGAGGAACAAAAACAGAGGAAATCTTGTAAACGTGCCTTTAAAAGTCCTGATTGGGTACTGTCACATTGATATTTCATTGCCAAATTGTATAAAGTTTCCATGCGCCTGAAGAAAGTCTTTCGCAGACGGGCTTTAAAATTTTAATTTTAATTTTGGTTAATTCTGAACAGTTATATTTAGACGTTTAAGAGTAATCTTTCGTGATTTCGAATTTATTTACATTTAACATAGAGATTGAACCTATAACTTTACGAAAACAAACGCTTTGCGCGCACTTAGCTCCAAGATTTCTTGCAATTTGGCAATATTTAGATCAAAAAATACATGTATAAATTGCTTAACTTTGCCAAATTATAGACTTCCCTCATTATAGCTATAAATTTCAACCGAGAACAAACGCCTCACCTTTTCCATAACTCGAGATAGATGGCGCCCCACACAGACATAAAAACGGCGAAGAATATGGTGGCCGGGTTGTCGACGAAATGCTGAATTTTCGAATAGGTACAACTCTCGCTCAACTTCCAGTAGTCGCAGTACTTGTCGCATAATGGACACATTGTAATGTCCAAGTTGCAAATGTCCGCTACGGTGGTGCTGTCGTCGAGAGTGGTCCAAGCATGAATCAGACACAACACCCCCACCACTGAAGCGGGAATAAGCATGTGGGTATAAAACCCAAGCCAAGTGAAATATAGAGCGAACTTCACGCCGAAGTAATCTTTGATTTCGTCTATGGGTTGGTATTTGATCCACTTGGACACCTGGGCCCATTCTTTAAAGAGTAGGTTACGACAGGAGCCGGGTTCCGAATAGTCGCCCTTGAAATGCAGGGCTGTAGGTTTGATTAGTTGGAAATTTGGTTACGTACGTCGTGTAGAGGATAGGCACCCTTGTAAACGCCTTCGGACACGAGCCGTCTGATGCCCTTATCTTGGTCCTCGCTTCCGAACTTTTCTCGTTCCAAAATATAGGAGATCACTGTGATACGCACGGAAGAATTGAAAAATTGGGGGGCCTCCATGTCGAATCTAGAGGAACGCGACATATCGTTTAGAGCAAAAGAGGTTCGCGAGAAAGGAGGAGGACGCACGTCCTAACCTCTCTTTTTTGTTCGAGGCGACGACAATACCTACAAGTAGGGTTTGTCCTTGCTGAACTCAGCGGTCAACTGGTACTTTTTCAATGGAAACTTATGCTCGTCCAAAGTGACCCCACAATTCTTTAAGAGGCGATGTAATCCGGACTGCAAGAAATTGTCTTTGGGGAGAGGCTCGTCGTGCTGTAAGGCATTCCCTTTAAATATAGCTATTTGATGTAATTTTTGTTTTCAGGTAACAAAGTAATAACAACTATCCCGCAGAGGTTGTTTGAAGATTATTAGAGGAAAACTAATATTACATTTATTAATATCCTCATGAAGACATGAATTATTCACTATGTCAGGTTTTCTACTAAATTCTGACATTTTTGGATAAGATAAAAAATTACCCAGTTATGTCTCTCAGAGGGATTGTATTACCAGCAATGTGCGAAATATCTAGGTATTCTGTTATTCTAACGTTCAGTCAAGTTGACAGAATGATGGAGACAGGTAAAGGTACAACTTGGCAACAATGGATTGCAGTCACACTGTTAATGCCTTCACAAAATACTACCGATTAAAGAGTTCCTATGTACATTTTAGACTAGGTCCCTTTTAACGTTTTTGTTAAGCCCATTTTACATTATTTGTGTGCTAACCGATTGAAAATTTTGTTTAGAGTTAGGAAACATATGTGAAAAAACGTCTTCTTATTTATCATGAGATTGTCTAGTCAACGTGAAAAATAAACACATTTAATCCTCAGATGGTCTAACGCATCAGACAGTTTGCAGATTGCCTAAAATAGTATAATCAATTTGCAGTTTGCTTGAATACTAGTGATTTTGCGATAGATTGTTCGGTTTGCAGAATACGCAATTGCGCACATTGATGGCTTTGTACACTTCCGATAACGTGCATATAAACAATATATTAAACTTATTTTATCTGGTAAACTACAAAAAATAAAAACTTCTACTTATAATGTGTTATGTCACCACGAGATTTCCTTTTCAGATCTTTATTTATTTGCTTTTTTGTGATCTCCACAACAAGATTCTAACATTCGACCCAGGAAGGGTCGGTTGGCACGGCGTGAGATCTGCCAAGTGAACTTGCAGGAGTTTGTGGGTTCAATTCCCACAGAAAGCTTGAGTGTTGTGAAAATGGGTGGATATCCAATTAGTTTTTTTTTTTTTTGGCAACTAGCGCAAATGCTAATCACATGGTACGGTGGAATGTCAGTGGGCGAATGATTGCGAAACGTGAGGAACTACTTACGTCTTTGATTGGTAATCTGAGCTTTAAAATTTCGGCGTACTGGCAGAGCAATTCGTGTGGCACGTTGATTTTTACGAAATGTATCCTCTGGTTCTCCTCCCGCTCTAGGATCAGGCCAGTTTTTTCTAGATTGCGTTCGAATATTTTGCGTTTGGTCGCGTGGTCGTCGCGGCCTTGATCGCAGTAGGCCATGACGAAATCGACGACCAAGTCCGAACCCGAAAAGCATCGCCACCTCTAAAAAACATCAATTGTTAAGAAAGTAAGGACAAGTAATTATTTCCGTAGTGGTTATTAGCCGAGTAAAGTACATCGCGTTAAATCCTGTACGAGTGAGTGCAATAATTCGATGTAGAATATAACCAAATTTTGCGGTAGGTTAACTGCATAACCTTAATTTCTGCAAACTCTCAAAAAATGTAGACGAGAATTTAAGTTTCAAATTCAAAGAATTACTTAACAAGGTTCTAAGCATTAGTTACCAGTCTACCATTCTTAATTAGTTAGAAAAATTGGACAGTATTCCCACTTCCTGAGTGCACCGCGGCGACTCAACGTGGTGTTAAAATCTGCTACCCTTCTCATGCATGAAAGTTTTGGCGAACCATAAAAAAACTGATAATAACAAAAATACCCTATCTCTCCACTGGGAATAAGTTCTAATATTTTTACTCTGCGAGACCTTGTTCACTCCATCACTGAACTCGGTCATTTCCATGGTTCCGTCCCCCAAGTCAAATGCGGAGTGGTACACGGTGTTGCGAGACAGAGCTATGTATTGGTTGTTGTTACTAAGACGTTTCCTACTAGATCCGGAAGTGACAGATATTGTGTCGAAGTAGTCATCATCTTCGCTTAGGTTGTCCATGACCGAAAGGCATCTGCGTTTCACAAAACGAGGAATAACACACAATTGAGTTTGCCAATTTATCAAAAATTGTGTCAAAATCATTCAAAGCAAAGTATTAGTTTGATTACAAAGCTTGTGAAAGAAAGAAAAACCTATTATGTAAAATATGTATACCTACTTAAACTTATAAAACAATACCAATGAAATGAGGATTAATACTTGAACACATTTCCTATTTTTTATCAAAAAATGTTGAAAATAATCATTATGAGGCCATATTTACCATTTTCAGTTGTAATTCGGGTAATTACACAGGAATTAAAAATTTCGTGTAGGGCACTACAATCTGAAATTCACACACAATTTAAACAAATTGTTTATCTATGAGTTTAGCTATGTGTTAATTCTAAAAATAGATATTGTGTTATAGAGAAATTACATCATTGTTATATAGACTTTTCTGCTAATTTTCTGTATTATTAGGCAGCGGTACAATTTAACCTTCACATTTAAATGTTGCGGTTCCTATTACCAGGGTTCTAGATTTGGTAATCCAAAATACGTTAATTTTAGGGTAATTTATAAATTTACCACCAAAGATTCCAAGGATCCTTCTAGAATGCTACACTGATGCAAAAACAAGCGTGAAAACTATGGGAGCTGGAGGATCGGGGGAGACAGGTACCTTTTCGATTATTAAAACTCGGATGTGAGTGTGTCAAGGGTAAATTAAAATCGCAAATTATAATAAATTGGTATACCGTTTCCATCCAAAGTGCTATGTGATTCATGATGAAATCTGTGCCAACCAACGTGACGGATGATCGCTATTTAGGATTAAGCTTGCCCGTATTTCCTAATCTTACCTAACCTTAAGGAAGGATTTACTTTAAATTAAAATAATTTTGGAGGTCCCAATTAGATCACAGAACGTAGATCGTTATTTTTCTCTATCTCGTTTGTCCTTTCTCTATGCACGGTACACTTTTTGGCCAGCACAGAATATAAATAATTCATTCTCTGCGGTTAAAGTAAAGTTTGTATCCCAATATTTTACTTTTTTGTCTAATTAATTTAATCCATAAATACCTTTTTTTACTCCCTTCTGTAAAATACCTAATTATACACAATCACTTTGCAACCTAGTTTCTTGTTTCGCGGATTACAGCCACTTCGGTTATTTTTTCAGAGGTTTTACAGCACGGCTTGAATTTTGACGTTTGTGATTTTTGACGGTCATATCAGTGAATGTATTCGTGTTTTTTTTTGCTAAAATGTATCCAAAACCTAACGGTCGTAGGAAAAGTATAGTATGCAACACGTTTGGCAAACTTTGAAAGTCACTCGTTTATTAAAGATACTCGTGACTCAAATGCCATTTTCCACACATGTTGGATAATACACTGATAAAGGTAATCCTGCAGTTTTGTTTAGTACATATTAGGACTTATGACAATAGTTTAAAAATAGAGTAAAGACAATAAAGACAATAAAACAATAGAATAAAATTTCAATTAAATAGAAAATACAATTCCTAAGTTCTCAACAAAAAAAAAATCAAATTTTCAATGCTCAAAGTAATATTAACCAATTTTTCATTCTTAAAATCAAAAATACATGTAAACTGAAAAAATTAGTAGTAGAATGGAAAGAAGAAACGTAGTCAGAAGTAATAATTGATTATTTGTGACAAGGTACGAAAAATACCATTCTACAATGGTTGCGCAAACTCACAATTTTCGTACCCATCACCCGATTTTTAGACGGGACTTTACATATACAATGGCTTGTGGTCCGTGCTGCACGTCAAGTGACACCTGCTCTTAACCTCATTGTTAAGCCCTGTCGTTCCGTGACTACTATCTTTTCGTTATCTTGTCAATGTCCAGCCCCGTTTACCAATAAAAGAGGTGCGAAATCTGCCCGTACGTCTGTGTCTGCGACATTTAGCCGCGTGCGTTTTGTGATAAAATTGTTCTCAAATGTCATCGTTCGGACGTACCGGTCTTTCTTCGTTAAAATGGCAAATTGCCCTCGGTTTAGGCGCGGTTGGAGCCGTAGGTTTGGCTTATTGGTACATTAAATCTTCGAATAAAAACAAAACGCTGCAAGTGGCTGAATCATTCGTCGCGGAAACGGAAGAGACGCCCTTCCAAAAGGCACAAAGGTATAAAACGGAAGGGAACGAAATGTTCCGCAAAGGCAAATACGACGAAGCGATCGCGGCTTATAACAAAGCGATCGAAATTATACCTGACGAGTTCAAAGTAGATCTGGCGACATATTATCAAAATAGGGCGGCGGCCTATGAGCAGTTGAAAAAATGGAGTTCTGTAATATCCGATTGCGAGAAAGCCATATCTTTGAACAACAGATATGAGAAAGCGTTATATCGGAGGGCGAAAGCTTACGAGATGGTTAAAGATTGGGAGAAGGCTTTGGATGACGTGACCTCGGTGTGTCTGTTGCAAAACTTCTCGAACCAAAGCGCTTTGTTAATGGCTGATAGGGTACTCAAAGAACTGGGAAAAAAAAACGCCGCGGAAGCTATGAAACACAGAACGTCGGTGATTCCCTCAAAGAATTTTATTAAAACTTATTTTTCCTCCTTTTCCGAAGACCCCGTCTATAAGAAACTGTTAGAGACCACGGATCCCCTAGGTCAAGGTGAACTGAAGGGTTTTCTTAAAGCAAAACTTGCGTTCGCAACCGAGCGTTATGCAGAAATCATTCCCGCCTGTACTGAAGAGATCAATTTGAGTGAAGCCGAATCAATCTACAAAATCGAAGCTTTGTCTTTAAGGGCATCATTTTATTTCCTCACAGGTCAGTTTAAGGAAGCTCTGGAAGATTTAAACAATATAATAGAAAGCGGCGAAGCCGATATCAAAATAAAAGTAAACTCTTTGATTAAGAGGTCATCAATTTACATGCAGACTGAAAAATTGGAAGAGTGTTTGGCAGATTTTGAAGAGGCGGCTCTATTGGGCCCCGACGTATCAGGTAAGCAAGCAAATCATGTGACCTTACCTTTAACACAGAAAAAAATTGAAAAATTGGACCATTGCTGTCAACCCTTTTTAAATGGTAAAAAAGAGGCGAAGTAGTCGCGAAAATTTCAAGAAAAATATTTCAAATAACGCCGAAAGTGAATATTTGCTAAGCTATAACTGAATTGGATCCGACGTTGCCATTTTTATCTTAAAAAGGTAATCTTGCTGGGGTGAAGTCAAAAGACAGTAAATAAATGTAAAGCCTGTAATGTAGGAACGAGTTCCCCTAGGTTACTTATAAAGCCTGGTAGACAAGATGCTATTCCTACATAAATTTTTATCAGATTAAATTTTCTGTAAAAATCCATGTTTTTTAAATGGTAATTTTTGAGTAGGCGGTATAATTTCTTCGAGCGCAATATATTTCTTTCTTAACCGTTGACACTTAATAAACGTAATTTTGAGTGTAGGGAGGTTTTACTTAAATGGCTAATTCACAGAAACTTTCATAGGCTGCTGTAATACTATTTACAAATTTTTTGAATTGCTCCTGCGTTAGTACCGCTGTACACCTCCACTCCACGATTATGGAGAGGCAGGACGAAAAATATCAACTAGAAAGGGCCTTTAGACTACGACAAATAAACTCATCACCTGTTGAACACAATCGTGAAACAGGATCAAATCGATAAAATTCTTGCATGCAATGAATTCTTCTACCATCGAAAGATCTGAGAATCTGTAGAAATCTGTAAGCAAAGAAACAATTTTAACCGAGACTCAGGTCTTTACCTTTCACCAATATGGGAATTAGTCATCCGAGGCAATGTTCATGCAACTCCTTTACCTCCGCCCCCGTCAAACAATATATAAACATATAAGCAGCTATAGAGTAGAATACGAGCCAGTTTCAGCTAAGCTCTGCAGAAGCCAACCGGATGATTGATGAAACTTCTTCAAAATTGCAAGTATGCAAGAATGTATTCACGACATGTGTGGAAAATACGAGGTTTATAGTTGTAAGTGGTGCATAAAATACAATATTAGAATAATTATATTGATTTTTTGTTTTCTTTAAAAGCAATTTTTGGGCAATTTAGGTTACAACAAATTTATTGGCATTTTTTATAATAATAATTTTTCATTTTCCTGGTCAAGTTGCAACCCCTGCAGCTTTTTAATCAAATTACTCATGGACATTTTTTCCTAACAAGATTTCAGAGGCGACCCTTTCATTGTCTATATGCAATCCCTAAACTTGCAATAAGGAGACAGCGCTGTCAGGAAGGAGGCATAATGAGCCTGTTAAAGCCTAAAATGTTGAAAAGCTTATATGTATCGTTTAGCACAGACTTAGTTTATTTTTTGAAGAAAATTATGTTTTATTTACCCACAACATAAAGAAGGGACGGCAATATGTTTTCGGTGTTATTTTCTATATTTACAAGGAATTCTTTCGGGTGGTCCCATTTTTTTTCTAAAATTTTTACCCTCCATGAATGTATCGGAAACGTCGCGTCATGTTAAGATGTGTTCCACCATCGCGGTCAAGTTAAATTGCTGATGGAGAAAACGCAAGAGGCAAGAGACGATTTCCAGAAAGCGGTCCAGTTAAATCCCGGCTTTCCTATTGCTGCCGTGCAAAAATGTTACACAGACTACAGGCACGCGATGCAATCACAGGACATGGGTCTCCTCATGGCCAGCATGCAGGATTTTCGCAAAGCGATCCAGAAATTTCCCAACTGTACCGAGACATATGTTCTGTTTGCTCAAGTGAGCCCGACGCTATTTGTTGCGCGCGGTTGTAAAGGGCGGTGTTTTCGCAGGTACAGACCGAACGCCAGGAGTACCAAGAGGCGGAGGAACTTTACCAGAAGGTGTTGAAACTCGACCCTAATAACGCGTCAGTTTACGTTCACCGCGGTCTCTTATTGCTTCAATGGAAGGGCGAGATAGAGAACGCGGTTCAGTTGATGAGGGAAGCGATCAAGATCGACGAAAAGTGCGAGTTTGCTTATGAAACATTGGGCACCGTCGAAGTTCAAAGGTAAAAGAAAATGGGTGGAGAAGAGAGATCGCGATCTCGAGGATTTTTCTTTCCAGGGGTAACCTAATCGTCGCCATAGATTTGTTTAATAAGGCGATAGCCTTGGCGAGGTCCGAGATGGAAATGGTCCATTTGTTCTCATTGAGAGACGCCGCCTCCTCCCAGCTGAAAATCGCCAGTAATTTGGGGGCAGGGGCGCAGTTGATCAAAGGCCTGTCGTGAACCAGAATATAATTTGTTGGACTGTAAAATTTTTTATGTAAATGTTAATAATAATCCGATTTTAAATGCTGTCCTTTTATTATTTAAAATCATAATAGGAGGGGTGCTAATTGGCGAGCAAAACGTCGCAGATCTCGTTAAAGTCGGTCACGAACCATTTGGCTTTTGTTTGAACTGCGGGTCTAATAACATTCCCTCCATAACCTAAAAAAATGGATTAACGCATCCACTTAGACATGAAGTATTATTAAAATCAGATTATATCAATTGCAATTCTGGAAGTTGTAATCGCTAATCAATTAAAAACAACAAAATTCCAATGTCAAACAAAACGAAGAGTTACACTTGTATCTTGCTCCTTGCTACCTACCGATAAAAGCGTCCGCAGGAGGCGAAGACTCGAGATCCGTAACACCATCGCCTATAAATATTAAATTTTTGTAACCGTAAGTATCTTTTAAGTGTTGCGCAACGACAGCCTTGCCTCCCGTACGGGAAGTGGGTTGATTTTCGTCGAACCCAGCATAGTCGCCATTAAAGTAAAACTTTAGCCTGTTTGCGTATACATTTTCCAAAGGAATATGCAGTTGCTTGGCCACGGGTGTTATTAGACTTAGAAAACCTCCCGATACCAAGTACGTGGACCTACCGGTAGTGTGCAACACATCCACCAATTTTCTGCAATAATATTGTTGCTCACAACTGATCTATCATTATGTTAAATATCTGATTTACTTAATTCCGGGGGTGAGCGTCGGAGGACAGGTCCTTATAAAATCCCTAACCATTGTTAATGAAGGTTTGATTATGTTGAGGCGTACACTAAGGGCATCCTGATATGTCATACTACCGCCCATAGCATTCGCTGTACTAAAATGTCTGGGTTTTATAGTCATTCGAGCACTAAGTTTGACTTACATGCTGGCCACTTCTGACCCTTTCCCGGCAAATTTGGCTAGTTCATCTATACCCTCATCCCGTATGACAGTCGAGTCCACATCAAAGCAAATGGCATCGCAGTTTCTCAATATAAGCTGAACCTCTTCCATTTCACATCAGCAACGGAAATTTGAATTGAGCGGTGTCTGTTATTAACGCCATTATCAATTTGACCCGTTCAACCTTGCCTTACGTTTTAGCGGTACTTTGTAAATACCGCGGCCTTGTGTAAACATATTTACGTATTTTTATCACCAGGGTTGTCCTTTATCACAAGCAGTATTAATAATTAAAATGCAAATTTTAATGGGTCAAAACCCTAACGGACCATAGCTTTTAAATCACGGGATTACCCAACTCCTATTAATGATTCATAACATCTTACTTTCAAATTTATACCTGTTTGGTCGACGATGACCTTGAATCATATCTTCTTATTTTATTGAGCACGTGTATATTCACAGAACAATTTTTTTTAGTGCACTTCAAACAACAAATCACAGAGCATAGACATATCGGCAATTTATTTCAGCAAGTTGTGCGAGTAATGACGTCACCCAACCACGTCAAAACAATATTATACGCATCGAGTTTCGCTTGGAATTATATTTGATCTTCGGTTGATGGACGTAATGTGTCACAAATCCCCGGGAAGTAACCGTCCTTGAGTTTGCGGTAAATCACTCGCGCCCACATCATTCACCGTTCGATCGAGGTACGTGGTGGTTGGATATAGCGAAAACAAAGAAATACAGAGGCACATTAAATGCACTTTATTTTGTTTCATAGTTACCGTAACATTTTACAAGTTGTTTAAAGGTTATGTAAAGAGATGGATATGCTAAGCACATGTAAAGAGGTTGTGTGTGCAGCCCGTCACATGCATACGACGCGACGTATGGATCAAAATCAGTCAACTAGAGATTCCGTACCTCGTCGGCGTCGACGAAACTTTGAAGCGTTTACACGCCCACGGGATATAATACTGATAAAATGAAAAAAAAAAAAAGAAACAAAGTGTGCCGTCTATCACATAAACAACGTAAAAAATCGCGAGGGCGCGCGTGTCGCGCCGACGACGTTTAATCCGATAAAAATTACGCAAAGTATTTACATAAGAAAAAGAACTTAAAACGAGAGGCCGACTTCGAAAGTAAATTGCACAAGAATACATTGTTGTAGAAGGTGTGATCCGAATTTGGTACATTCAACTCACCTCGCCAAATTTGGTTTGTCGACTACGGGTTCAGATTGTTTTGTTTTCAGTTAATTGAAAATTGATAACCCGTTGACAGCAGGACTACAGGACCCATAGTCCGTAAAGAAAATTTTGTTTCTTAGTTTTGACCTATGAATAGGGCGAGTTTAATCCACCAATTTTGAAGCACCCTGTATATGGGCAGTTGCGCGCGCCTCGTGATATGGTGGGCGGGGCGAAAGGTATGGCCACCCAAAAATGATATTCTTGGGGGTCCTGACGAGAGCGCTTTACCGAAGATAAATAAAGTACCACACTGGCTTGCTCGATTCTAACCGTTTCTTAAATAATTTGCGAGAAAAAAAGGTGACCATTTACTTTTTCTTCTCCTTGGATTTCGATCACCCTCGTCGCTTCTTCCGCTCCGTCTTAATCTCGGACGCGCGTAAATATGATGGTTCGATTTTTTCCCGCCCCTAATTAAGGGTTTACGCGTTATTCGCGACAAAAAAAACGAAAAAAACAAACCTCCGCATCGGTGTCCAGAGAAGCTCTTACTTTTTGTTTCATCATTATTTTTTTTTACAATTAAATTATATAAAAATAACAATAGGCTTTTCACGCCTACTACCCTAAACGTTTTTGTACATTCTTCATCTTTTTTTGTTTTAAATAATTTACACAGTTACACAGTTTTGTTTTTTGTTTCAGTACACGCGTCAGTCCCCGGTCGCACTCGTCGCACCGCCTCGCCCTCCCACACCGGGCGACGATGCCCTACCACTAGCCTGTCGGCGAGCAGGTCACCTGTGTGTCGTGCCTTCGTTTATGTCGTACAAAATTTGTGCCACGGTTCGCGACGACTCCACGTTGCTGAGGGCGATGTTCGCCAGGTGGGACTCGTACGACCTTAAGTACCTGAGGAAAACAAAAGCGCAGCGTCCCCGTCAGCCCGCACGACTCTTTGTTTTCGTAACTAGAAAATGTTGAGAGCAAAAGGAATGGGATGCACCGTTCTTACTTTTTTAGTAGTTCCAATTCCTGGCAAGGCTGGTTGTAAACACAAGTTTATATATACATAATATTTGGCTTATGCCGCTAATATTTGACTGCAATCAATCCCAGTCTCTTTAAAGACTTTTGACGAAAGTATAAGAACGCATATTGCAATACAAAAGACATAATCAACATATATTTGGCATAATTCATACATTGTGGGATTGAAGTGACATCATGTGATACTTATTCTGTGCAAAAAACAAATTGTACCTCTAGTTCTGCTAAAATTTCAAAAATCATTACCGTAGTATTAAATACGACTATATAAAAAAAATGCAGGCTGTTTAAAAACATTAAGGCTCAATCAGAACATGTACACCTAATTTAGATTTAGCGAAAAACCTCATTCCTTTCACCCCTCTCTGCTAGGAAACAAGAACAGGTATATCCAAAGGAGACCACTAGAGAACGTTAACAACGGCAGATCCCCCCCTCCCGTCTCACTTAACCTTTTCGCGATCGAATGTGGAGAGGATATTATCCGTGGCCGATATTATCGTGTTTGTCGGGTCCCATTTGGACGTGACCTGGTCGCTACGTAACACCAACCCACCTCTTACAATTACTACTATAAATGACCAGATTTCGAAGGATTAACGATGCCGTTAATCGGATGCTTTTGGTGACCGGACCCTCGTTGTCGTCCTGCAAGCAAAATTCATCCTATTCGGTTATACAGTCGGACGGGACTGTTCGTCCGCGTTTACGAACGATAAAGACACAAATGTTTGATTCACGGAAGTTACGCCGACCTATTCTGCACTCCGCACTCCTACTCTGCACGTATGTGTGCAAAGTGGGAGTGGTGTGACCAAGAAGTTAATTTTTAACCATTTTCACATGAACAATAATTTTGTCCACAAATAAAATCCAATACTCAAAATTATTTTAATAGGTCGTTTTGCAAAAACTTCTGCAAATACTAAATTGCGACAATTCAAACGTCAGCCATGAAACGAAAAAGAATTGATGTGTTCTTTTTAATTTTCAAGGATAATAAATCAGCATTCGCGAAAATATGGTTGAGGGAATAGAACCCATTTCTTACACTTAAAGAGGACACAAAGGTTTGGCAATTTAAAAAATCATTCGGATTAATCATACCAATAATACCCGTGCCCATTGATTTCGATTAAAAATTTGGTGTTAATTAAAAAAGAAACCCATCATTCAAAGACGTCGTAAATGAAAACAGGGCATTTTCCAGCCATTTTATCGCACGCTCGTTTCGCCGTCTCCGCAATCTTCTGGGCGGATTGGCCCGAGTCGCGCGCGCGCAAATTGAACCACAATGTTGCGCACAGAGACGACACCGCGACCGTAGAAAAAAATATACACAAATAAATCCAAACAAAACGACCACAACATCGAAAATGCCAGATTAATGAGTCAAACAACGTGGCGCCTCTCTTTCATTCACTCTCACTCGCGCTCTCTTTCTCGTCTATCGCTCACCTGGTCGACTGCGGGCGACGGCAGGGCTTTTAAAGATGGATTCGCGTTCGAGCCCTGCTTTGGAGATTTTAGCTGCGTGCACAGAATAGAAAATAAAAACAAACGCATGAAACATCGACGAAAAAAAAAAGACTGCGCGCGATCCCAAACCAACAATAAAAAAAAATCCAAAAAAAAATCACTAAATATTTCGTGGAGATCGGGCGAAAGTCGGAATTATCCCCCCCACAACCCGCGATCGCGGTAAGACGTACCTGCAACTCTTTCGGATTGACAAACTCCAACGCGTGCCGCTTGATTGCGTGCAGGGCGGCATCCGGGGCGTAAACGGGATGGGCGCCGGGCGTCTGCGGCGGCGGCTCCACCTTCAAGCCCTGCGCCACCTGCTTTCTTCTCACGAGACTCTGTTTCATCGCCTGAAATTCAACAACATTGAAGGGCGTGTCACTGCATCCTCTATTGCCGTGGCTATACCTCCGGGTTGCAGTGTTTGTCTTGCAGGTGCGTCATCAGCGAGAACCGTTTCCGCCTCATGTTGTCGCATCGGTCCCACTCGCAGAGCACCTCCTCGTTGCCCTCCGGGCAGTGATGCTTGCACGCGTGCATATACACCTCGTTCGCCGACTTAAATTTGGTTTCACTGCAATCAAAATGATCGAAAAAGGGTATAAGAAAATACCTAAGCGGTAAGTTTGAATTACCACAATTCAATTTAACTGAATAGAATACCGACCTGATTCAGTGGCTTTCAACTAAGTGCCATAAATTTTGAGAAACGAAACCGTTAGATTTGCCCACCCAAAGACGAAAAAGGTTACACTTGTACCTCCATACCAACAAATTAAAAGCACTCCCTCTGAATTTAATGGTCAATTAAATATTGTAAAAGGCCAAGTCTCCATCAATTGCGTTCCTTGCAAGAAAGTTAGTATGGCGGTAAGTTTAAGGATATATATTGCTGGCTTCTCCTAAAATTTGTTAGGTAGGTTTAAGAATCACCGACACCGTAATTCAAAAACTATTATTAGGATAATTGTTATTTAATGCTGCTTGAGTGACGTCCATCAACTTGTGTTTCGATTTGAGACCAGGAAGTTTTTACTTTAATGTTGAAGTCTTCAACGAACTTAAAAAGGCACTCAATAACGAATGATATCAAACAAACTATTTTTTAAGCAATAAACCATGCGACATGAAATTCAATTTAGGTTTTTTCCCAACTTAAAGACTTTGTGTACGGGGCAATCCGATTATTATATCAAAATCTGTGAAGAATATATATAGAATAAGTTTATGATTTTACAAAAGTTTCTAAATTTGTTGAGTGTCTAACCACTGAGGAAATGAACCTCAAATATATAACAAAGGCTTTCAGAAACCTGCAAACCTCATTTTTGACATAAAATTCAAAATATGTCAGAAACGGTTATTTAATATCAAATATATATAGAAGGTTTTGAGAAATTCTAAAAAGCCTTAATACACAGGATGTTCCATTTAAAAAAAGAAAGTTGTCACTTGTATAATTAACTTAGTTATAACATTGTAAAAGCATAAGCGAATCCAAACGACTTTTTTTTTACGTTTGTTGCTATTTTTTAGACATTCTAAGAAAGATATGATCCCATAATAAAGGTCAGCCTGTATAATCTGAGAACATGGGAGTGGCTAAGGTCGGTTCCAAACTCCATCAATATTTTGGACAAGTCATTACAAGAAAAAAAGTAACGCCTATAACTTACATATCACACTCGCCCCACTCGCACACGAATGGTGTGGTCAAATCGCGCGCCACCCTCGGTCTCGTTCTGACCTCTTCCGGCGCTTTCGTCTCCTTCACGCCGTTCGTCGTCGCCGTTGTTGTCGTTGTCGTTATCGCCGACGACACCATCGTCGACGCCGTCGACTTGATGAGCTTTGTGGGACTTGACGCGCCGCCGCTACTATTCGACACCGTTGGCGACTGCGCGATAGGCCTAGGAACTTGTGTGACGACCACCTGCTGACCCTGGGGCGTGACAACGACTTTCTGATGGTGCGTAGCGGCGGAGGCGGCCGCGGCTCCTGCCGTCTGCTGCTGCAGGATGATTATCGTTTTTGCGGCGGTGCCCTGCTGCTGCGGCGTCTGCGCTACGAGCACGGTCTGTGGCTGACCATGGACGACCGCGGTTTGCGGCTGCGCCACCACGTAACCTGCGGGAGCCGGTAAAAAGCCTTTTAAAATAATAATGCCTAAAAATCGCCAACCGATATGGCAAAAAAAAGATTTCCTCTGAAAACCGACCATATATTATTTCCATAATATGATTTTGACAGTAAAATGACCAATGAAGCTCACTAGTCTTGTCATGGCAACAATTATTCTTATTTCATAATTTATAATGTTTGCGGAACTTCCTGATTTCAATGAAATTGACGTTTTTCAAAAAATATTTTGGCTAAGTTTTCATAGTTTTAAAAATAATTCACCAACAAACATGAAAACCCCATTCATGCGGTTCAAATAATAATAAAATTACAACAGAAAGAATGGTCCCATAACTAGTGCCCCTTAAATACCTAGGTGCTTCAAGATACCTAATATTGACTATCAACAAAACGAGTGCAAGGAAGGTAGCGCTGAATAAAACAGATGAGCCTCAAAAATCCCAATCTCCTCCAAGCCAATATCATAATATATCAGGATAATATCATGTTAGTATGGAACTAGTTTAAGGTTCTCTATTAATATAGCGATTTTTGGGTGGATATAAATTTAGTAATAAAATTAGAGTGAATAATCACACAAGACAGTAGGTTCTTGCTTTATATCTAACAATCATGGCAAACAGAATAGGTTTCTCCTCTAGGGAGTAAAAATTTCCCTGTTAATGGAAAATAGAAATAGAAACACGCCCACAATATTTCTGTTCCTTGAAATTCTACAATAGTGACCCAGGCAGCAAATACTCATTTCGCAAGATTCATTTCAATAAATGACTCTGGAGATAGTTTCGTCTGTATTAGAGGACTGAACTGGTCGAGGGTCCTAATTGTAGGACTTCCAAAGTTACATTTTGCCAAAAATCTCTATTTAATAATGGTAGTCCGAGCAATCGTGGCGGACGGCGATCTCATACCTTGCGATCCGCCCGCTTGCAGCACATACTGGCCCGTCTGCGAACTGGTCAGTAACTGAACCTGACCCTGCAGGCCTTGCGACAACAGCAGCTGCCCGGTATTGCTCTGCTGGATGAGTACGGACGGACGCTGCTGCACGCCGGCATTCTGCACGATGACCGTCTGGCCCGTCTGCGTCTTTAGTTGGGTGCCTGCGCGAGAGACGCTTGATTCGAAACCGTCCCGAGTAGACCATGCCTACATCTTCACTTACCCCCGGTAAAAACGATGTTCTGATTGGTACCCTGCATTTGGGACTGCGACACGATTATCTGCCGAGACTGTGACAGCAGCACTTGGTTGTTATCGACGATGATCTGTTGTATGGACGCGGGAGCGGTCGCGTCGATCACTGGCTGCGCGGAAGCCTGAGGGGGCGGCTGAGTCTGCGCCTCTTGCATCAGCTGTTCTTCGTCTTCGTCCTCGAGAATATCGGCTGCGATATCGGCAAACAATTTGGCCGCGGCCGTAGACACCGTGCTGGGGCCGTCCTCGCCGTTCGATCCGGACATTGCCGAGTCTGGATCGGGCGAGTCCCGTCCGGAACCGTTCACGTTGTTCGACGCCAGGTGAGGTTTTTTTACGTCGGGATCCAAACCTTGATCGGTGGCGGGCCGTTTGAGGTTGGGTTTGGAGGAAGGTTCGACGATGGCGGGGGCGGGTTGCTCACCACTCAGCGCCTTTTCGATATGGTTCTCAACCAGGTCAAGGCCGTCGACGAGTTTTTGATCTTTGCCGAAGGTGCCGTTCAAGATGGGGGCCTTTTCGAATTTCTTCTCAAGCAAGTCGGCAAGCCGGAGCGGTTTGTCTATGCAGATTTCGGTCGTCGCGGTAGACAACTCCTTGGGATTGGTCTCGAGGTCGTCGACGTCGGGCGTCGCGACGGCCGCGGCATTCGGTATACCTACAACACGACATATCACGGGAAACGTTCTTAAATGTTCAATAAACAGATAAATAACTACCGTTCAGGAGACAGTCGAAACCGGTCAGCGAGTTATCGTTATCTTCGGTCGAGGACACGCCACCCAAACCGACGGTGCCAAGAGGCGGGGCGGCCGATAACGAGTTGTCGCTGTCCTCGCTGACGTACGGCGCAGTTGACGTCGTTTTGACGCTATTGGTTAGCGGGGCTAAGGGAGGAGGTGGCGGTTGCGGCGGTTCCTTCTTGCCTTTTATCGTGCTGACGAATTGGGTGGTAGAAGAGACGGACGGGTCGCCGATCTCGTGGTCGGGAAACAATTGCCGCACGCCATTCAGTCGCTGCATCTTCGCCGTCTCCGTTTTTACTTGGGGCTGTTTGTCGGGCTGGCCGCCGCCCTGCTGCGCTAGCAGCCTCTGTTGACGTGCCGCCACCTGCGTGCGTCGCGCGACATATTATCTCAAGAGCGCGCGCGAGGGAGTAATTTACGAAACAAGAAAACGCGCACGAACCGCTGCCGTTGCTTCGAGGGAAACCAAACGAGTAGTATATACTTATATCTGGGTAGGGAGGTATATTGCAGAATTTAAGAAATACGGAAGCTCGAAACTAAGTTGGGATGGGATGGTTGCAATGTACTTATTTATACAAGGTGTTATTGAAATCAAATCACATAATTTAATAAGTGACTCTCAGGGACAAATGACAAGAGGGCAGCCCAGTAGTTGAGAAAACTGGATCAGGAGCGCAAATGTAAGACAATTAGGTGCGCCGCGATAGCTACCTAGGATCGCATTTATTAACCGTAATTTTTGTTTATATAATGATTTTGTCCAAGTCCACTTCCACGCCCACTGACACACACTCCAAAATGCTTCAGAAAGGGACTGATCCATGTTACCCACTTTTTCTTTGAGCACGTCTCTCTTTTAACAAAATCTCCGATGCACTATTTTCAAAAAGGAAAACAATTCACTTCCTCTTTCACAATTTTAGCAGAAAATATTTATAAATTCGCAAGTCTAATTGCTAAAAAGACTGCTAAATTCCAGCATTGAGTAGTTTCAAACTATTCAGAAAACTTCTGATTTTTCAAAGAAACTTCCACAGGCTACTGTGATACCTTTTTATAAAACTTCTGGATTCCTCCTGCGTCGGTTTTTGTTGAGTCCAACTAGCTAACGTTTTGCCAATCATTCTGTTGGCTTCTTCAAAGCTTGACTGAACCTGGTTCGCATTTTACTCTGTATCTGCTTTTATATTATTTGAGGGGGGCGGAGCTAAATAAGGGGCATAAACACCGTCTCGAGTGACTGATTCCCATATTGGATACAGGTAGAGACCAGAGTCGCCATTAAGATTGTTAGGTTCCTTATAGATTTAGATAGATAGATATATTAGAATTTATTATATGCAAGAATTTGAGTTTTATCGAATATAATTTTATGTCCGGTTTCGTTATTGTGTTCGACAAATGCTGATAAGTTAGTCTTAAGGCTCCTTCATGTTCTTTGAGTATAGCTGATATTTTTCGTACGGTCTCTCAAATATATTCTTTTCCGCATAAGCATGGAATGTTGTAAACTACTGGCATCTCAAATGGAATTTTAATTTTTTCTTTGACGAACTGAAGATGTTGAGGGATTTTTGGACAAGTGGTAAATCTGGTTTGACGTTATATTCCTTTAGAACTTTTGATATGTGGTCAGGGATGTTTTGAATAAAAAGAAGGACCACAGTGGCAAGTGTGGGATTTCTTTTGGTTTCAGTGCTATTGGAAGGTTGTGGTGAAATTTATTTTGTGATGGAACGCTTAACATCTTCAATTTGGAAATTATTTTTCCGACTCATTGTCTTAAATCGCTAATGTGGAAGGAAGGTTTTAGAGAGAAGAGCAGAGGTAAGGTGTTTTAATTCTGGGTTGAATGACTCAGACTAAGATAGTTTTACGACTCTGTAAACAAGAGCTGATAACCGATGATTTTTAGGCCGGATGGTGATGTGCATGCATTAAGGTCTGTGTGCGTAGGTTTTCTGTAAACACAATGATGTTAGGTTTGATTTTCTATTGATAAGAATATGTAAGAATTGGAGGTTGTTATTAGTTTCTATTTCAATGGTAAAACGTATGTTAGGGTGTATAGAGTTTAAATGTCCAAGAAAATCCACTAGGAATTCCTGACAACAGAATGATAGATGAAACGTTAGCTAGTTGTACTCAACAAAAACCGACGCTGGAGGAGTCGAGAAGTTTTATAAAAAGTAAAAAAACTTCTGATGAATGAAGAGGGGGTGATTCCGCATTTTAGACAAAAATTTATTTGGTCGAATTTGATACTCCCCATGCCCTTATCGGATAATTTTCCCATTATTGCGTACTTGAAAGACAGTGAAGATGTGTCGTTGGAAAGGGGATGCATTAAATTTGTCTTCAACAGAATACGATTGGTTACGCCAGCTCGAAGGTTGCACGAGCCGCGGTCCGCCTCCGGGAGCGGTTCCAGGTAATTTTTGCGTTATTCGAAAAAAAAATGTTTAGAACAACCGTGGGTTAGTTTTCTGCGCAAAAATACTGGTAGTAGTGGAACGCAACTATATCGTGCACAAAACGTTACGATTTAATAAAAATTGAAGAACGGTAAGAAAAAAAAAGGACCGACATGGGGGGAGGGGGCTCATTTTTATCGAAGAATTAGTTTTTTTTTTGCTATTCCACTTATTTTACCGCATATTATACTTTTGCGGTAAATATTTGAATTTGCGCCATGCTCTGTTGTATTTAATGCCAAATTTGTTTTATCAACGGATACTTTACATAATATAATGAGCTCCTTGCATAGGTTATACATAATACAAATAGAACAACGCAAAATATTTCAAAAACACTGAAACTGCCATTTAAGAAACACGAATTTCAAATATTGACACCAACATCACTTGGAAGCGAACGATTCGGAGACTAACAAGTGACGTCACGATAAAAATTTTGAATTCTAAGAACTTGCCAATAAAAAAAAGACATGCCTCTCTCTAGGTGATAAGTATCGATGACGATCTTTTCGCAATAAAAGTACCGCCCCGTCCCACAAATCGGAAAATAAAAAACAATTGACACATAAAAGCAATCATTAGAGTATTAGTGTGTTACCTGAGCTACATTTTGACAGTCTGTGGCGGCAGTCTTCATGCCCGCCGACACGCATGCATCGTTTACCTTTGTGGCCAACAGACTCTTAATCAGGGACGTACTGCTCGTGCCTCCCGGCACCGCTCCCAGTTCCTGCTTGATCGTCGCATCCGGTTGCTGCTTACCCGATGGCATCACTGATGCCGGCACCGCCGCCGACGTCAGAGTGGTCACTGATGTCGCGCCGGTCGACGGCGTAGTTGCCCCCAGCAGGGCCTGGCTCAGATGGGGATGTGTCAGCGCCTTTTCCCATCCAAAAACAAAATCATTCAGACCGGGAGATGGAATATTTGCGCGGCGCTGAGAAGTTTGACAGAGTTTGGCGAGGGTCGCCGTAGAGTTTTTTTTTCTTAATGGCCAGGTTCGTTTACTACTCAAGAAATTGTTTGTCAGCTTTCACAAGTTATCAACATATAAAATACACACGGTTTTGGCAGATTTACAAGTCATATATCCAAAATTTTATAAATAAATCTGTTGCATTTTTAAAAAACTTGAATGAATGAATGAAATCTAACAGTAAAGTTTTGATTTAATTATAATTTTGTAAAAAAAACTCAAATATAAACGAAATATTCATTAAATATTTAGTAACAAAAAATAAAAGTTTTCTTTTGTTTATATCTAAGGGAAAAAATCGTAGATATTAAAAAATCAGAAAATTATGTTTTCAATAAGTTAAATAGACGTTAGCTTAGCTTATAACTTAGTAAAAAATAAACATAATAGATATAACAAAAATCGTTAAAATGCAAACGTTTTGTTGGATTCATGATTTCGGAAAAAAAAAACAAAATTAAGGAAATTATGCTTTTTATTAAATGAAGCAGAAATTTTGCTTATAATTTGGGTAAAAAAAGCAGTTTGAAAAAATTTAAAAAATAAAATAGCATTTTGGTGAATTTTTGTTTTGTTTTTTTAATGCAACCTTCGCCAACACCCCTTAAAACTGGCACCATCCCGCATATAGATGGCGGATTTTTTTCTCAATTATTAAGCAAATTTCGATTATCCCAAAAATTAAAAAAAAATGCACCCACTCCCCAGCATTAGCTCAAACACGCTGTTAGAAACGCCATAGCGAAACACACACACATACTCCAGGAACAAAAAAAAAACAACTCCGTCACCAGCTTACCGTTACGTGAAGGGGAATAGGAGGATGGGGCGGCAGGACAGGAGGGGCGGGGCGGTGTCGAAAAGATCAGGTTCTAAACACTACTCCAGAACTCGGTCGTTGGGGCGGATACCAGACGCGGAGAAAAAATGAACTATATTCTACTATACGGCAACAGTGTAGTAATAATTGCAAATTCTTATCTAATAACACGTTGGCTGCCATGAGTGCCTTTGTGCGTCTTGCCTAAATGACGAGTTTGTGTTCCGAGATATATATGTTGCGCCAAAGGTGAAATATTATTATACCGAGTAAGGCACGACATTAAGCTCTCGACCGCGTATGTTGCGGATAGAAACTGATTTTGCGAGGCACGGTGGGCGAGAAACCATAAAAACCCCTCAAAACATTATTTCCTAAACTAAATTTATTAACGTTCTCGTCTCTATATATTTTAGCTTCGATTATCGGATTACTCCATGTCCAGACAATATGATTTTAGGGTCCATTTAAATTTGATGTTGCCTAGGCAGGCTGGCTAAGGTGGCAAATAGCTCAATAGTTCTACCAGTTAAACTTCCCACTGAAGTTAAAAAAATACAAAAAAAAGTAGTCCATTTAAACGTGTACTTAAAAACAATTTAACAGAAAATGCCTTTTACGGTATAGATGAATATCTAAATTGCAACGCCTCCGAGCTTATGCCATAATTATCTATTTAATTTTAACACATTTTATGACATTTATCTTAAACTTTCTTAAAATTCAATGGAAATAAAAATTTGTTTTGTCTTGTCTTGAAAATCCCCCGAACATAATTTTTATTTTTAATATTCGTGTAATGTGCACATAAAATTATGCCATGATCACTGGATGACAAGATTTGGCGTTCTCATGGCGGCACTCAACGTATTAATTTTTCTTTAAAACATTTGCCATCCGGTGATTGTTAATTAAATCTTAGTTTTAATTTTTTTTTGCACCATTCTGATTAATCCTAATCATTTTTCTAATGGCTTTTATTTTTCATTTTTATTGTGTATGCGTAACGATATTATTTTCTATGCGTTTTTTATAAATCAGATTAATTAAAAAAGAAATTGTGATCTCGACAACTTTGAAGTCGTGACAGTATTGTTTCTCTCTCTTGCCGCTGGTGTCGCATAGTTTTTAATGACCGTGAAGTCAACTTTTACGACGGTTTTTTTTATTTATTTAGGCCGCCGATTACGTTCGTTTTCCAGTTCGTTCTTTTCCACTTGATTTTTTTGTGTGATGTTTTATTTAATCTTAATACTTGACCCTTGTTTCTTCGCGCAAATTTCTTCCGATTCGCCCGCTCCGTATAGTAGAACGATATCGAAATTAACCCTCCACCCCCAAAAATACAAGAACGAAACAAGCGACAGAAGAACCACGTACGCGAAATGCGAGATACACAGAGAGATAGAGAGAATGCGAGAGAAAAAGAGAGAGAGGGAGGGATTTCGGTACGTTCCAACTGAATGTATATTACCTGACTTTTCTGGTCGCCCTTCGGCGCCTGGTTGAGGCCTCCCCCTTCCCGTTGTTTCGGGGGCGCACTCAATTGGGCCTTTAGTATCGGCGAGGTGGGGGATAGGGGTGCGGCCGCGTCCCGCTGTTCGGGCGGCGCCATCGCCGTCGCCGCCGCCGCCGTCTCGACGGTCGCGGCGGTCACGGACGTCGCGGGAACAGACGACGACGGCGTCGGCGGCGGCGGCACGTGCTTAATCACGGGCGCCACCTTTCGGCGAGCGGCCGCGGGTTTTATGGGCGTAACGGGGGGAGTGCATTGCTGCGCTGTTGTCGACAGGGAGGACGGGACATTTATGTGGAGGGGTTGTGCTCGCACCTTGATTCCCTCGTAGTACTGCGGATCGGTAGGGTTCGCCGGTTTCATTGGGTTCGGTCCGACGGTTCCGCCGAATACGGACCTGGAATTTTGCGGATATACGATTTAGATGCGAGGCACAACTAACGCGACCTGTTCCTATGATTTTTTTTTTCACTCGCACGGCATCTGCGAGACGAGACGGTAGGGGAAGATAGCATCCTAAGTTAAAAAAAAGGATCTTAAGACTTTCACATTAGAATAGTTGCACCCATATAGCTATATGATAATAATGGCCATAGTACGGTAAAACGTGATGCGCCGCAGATGGCTATGATATTTTCATTCAGAAGGTGTGGAACTTTTGCGCACGCGTCACAGTCAACTGACTGAGTTGCCACATTCCCGTAATGTTTCTGGAAAATTGATTAATTTTTATAAGAACGCAAAATCAGCCTCTGAAATCCGAATATAATTGTTATAATTGTTTGTTAGTGTTAAATTAAAATGTTAACTTGCAAAAATGTTTGGTTATATATATATATATATATATATATATATATATATATATATATATATATATATATATATATATATATATATATATATATATATATATATACCCAGTGTTCGAAGTGTTTTCGGAGCGCGAGCATTGAAGATGCCAAGTGAGATTTTGGCGAAACGTCTGCAGGATTCCAGTCGGATGCAAGATTTGCAGGATTCCAGTCGGATGCAGGATTCCAGTCGGAGTTCAACGAGCGAACGGATGATATCCCGGAATATAGTGTCATCATATATATATATATATATATATATATATATATATATATATATATATATATATATATATATATATATATATATATATATATATATATATATATATATATATATATATATATATATATATATATATATATATATATATATATATATATATATATATATATATATATATATATATATATATATATATATATATATATATATCCGTTCGTTGTTTGACCCTGGAGTAGGATCATTCGCCTGACGTTTCGCCAAAATATCACTTGGCATCTTCAGAGGCCGCGCGTCCATGTCACTCGTACGTGTCCGCACTTAAACTGAGGTGAAAATGTGCGGTGCGGCGCTTTTTATAATCGCGCTCCTGGCGGAGGAGACTCTCTTTTGCAATACCTAGAGTTTTTTAACCAAATTGTCCATAGGCACTTTTCATAATTATATATTAGGAAGGCAACATTTTCTGCAATTACTAGACTTGCGACGACGTTTTAATAGGATTTCGACATAGAGAGAAAATACTGCCGTAAAAATCCGAACATTGACAATTTGCCAGATGCCATGTTGGCTGTTGGAACCCGCAAGGCCTAATGGGTCGAACGTCAGAATTTACATTGGTAAAAAACGAAATTTTAAATCTCGGACATGCGCATATTGCACGGACCTTTACATAGTTGCTTCACGAGTTCCTGTACTATTAATATGGGCAAGGCATCTATATATTTAGTACCTATATGGGTGCAGCTCTGCCTACGACGAGTGTCGGGATGTTAAATAAATATCAGGAGCAAAGGATCGCGTTTAAACAGCATATCCCCGCAAAAAAATAAACACAATATAGGAACTTGTCACGTTATTCCTATGCGGCCCCTCCGGTCCACCAGCCACGCCCCTTGGGGCGCTCTAGTACCTCACGCATCTAGGAAAGTGCAGCGGCGAGATGACGCCCCGCCTGCCAATTTTTGAGCACGAGTTGATGTACTGCTTGTAGAGTTCCTGGTGATCCACTTTCCCACTGACGCAGGGTTCGTAGGTAGCGCGGAGCCAAGCCAGCGCGAACTGCTCGTTCTCGTGGATCGCCTGCTGGTGTGCGTGCTGCTGCTGGATCATCTGTTGCGGCGTCATCGGCGGCGGTAACGTAGGCGCGGGGGCCGACGATGGCGTCACCGTCGTTACCAGGGGCGTGCACTTTGTAGTTAGCGCCGCTGGCGCAATCGGCGTGGACGTTGTCGTTGCGTGAACTGTCGCTGAAGTAATAGGCTTGGTGAATCAAATTGAGCAAATCTGATTCTATTTGAAACGCCGACAGCCATCTTGCAAATCGCACATTTCTCATGGGGTGTTAACCCTTCGCACTCCTTTTGCGAGTACACTGTACTCGGACTATTATTTTATCTACTTATTTGTCTACTCGGTTTTTTTTATAAGGGATTTTTTTAATTAAAAAAATTCGCTTAATAAAAACTATGGGATGTTTTTAAAAAAACAGTTTTTTGCACAATGTTTATTCAAATTAAACACAATAATTTATTACAAATATAACATGAAAAATAACTAAATAAAAAAAACTTGGGCACTAAGTAAAACAATGACTTACGAAAATAATGAATCTTGAGGATAGAGAAATACAAATAAAGCCTAACATTATCTTAATCATTCCCATTATCATTAAATAAATGTATACACAATATAAAAAATACGTCTTATAATGTTGTAGTGTAGTCCAGGCTTACAGGTGCAAGTGTTACAAATATAAATAATTTCTCGCCTGCCGCCTTGTACTTTAAGGTTAGAACAAACCGCACAGTCTTTTCTTCCCATCATTTTGGGGTAAAATATGTAATTTAGCATTTAGCCGCTCTTGTGTATCTATAGATGATGGTCTGCCAGAAGTTTTGGACACCGGCCAAAAGTTTTTGCCATCTCATCAAGCAATTCCCGAACAATTAGTATAATAAATATGCATCGACACTGGATATTTCGAGTCCCCAGCAAAATAACTTTCGCCACCATTTTAAAGACTTCCTCAAGAAACACTATGACGATGAATAAGAGTCTGCCCGGTCGACCCCTCTCATAAATTTCATTTGGCTTATTTAAAACTGGTAAGTTACCTCCAGGTACTCTTCTGTTGATAGGCTGTGTTCCTGAAATATCACACGAAGTAAGTGTGTTGACGACCCTTTTATCTTTCTACGCCAATACCTTATCTTATCTTCCGCAAATGTTGTTTTTTTCAAGTATAGATTTGCGGTTGATTTGAATAGTGCCTGTCAAATGAACAAACTAATTTTAATAATTCTTCTGCAAGTGGCAATATCGTATAGCATCTATCGGTGAAAAAATGATATCCTCTACATCCTGGGCTATTTAATAATAATTTTTGACAAAGATGTAACACAATCCTTGTGCTTACAGGTAAATTCAAGAACAGATTCGTCTACCGATATCTCTCTTGATGGAACAAAGTATTCTCCGAATTGTTTGTCCAAATAATCTAAATAGTGAATGACTTTCTGAGTTCCAGTCCTAAGAGTTTGGACATTTGGATCGGCGTTAAACTGTTGCGACCAATACTCTTGATTAATAGATAAGGTTATCATACCCATTTTTAGGACAACACAATAAATGCGGTTAACTCTTCTACTGTAGTATCTTCCCACGTGTACCATGTAGAACGCTTTAACAACCTCTTCTGTGCTATTTTATGTCTAGCGTAGTAATTTGTTTGTTCCACTATTTTTATTATTCTTTATTTATCGATAAAAATAAGCTTGAAAAAATCTGTGGGGCTTGTACCGGGTGGACCAAATTCGAGAGGCCTCTATGGCTTTAAGCCTTTGCAGCATAATTGGCCCAAAACTCATATGCATGTTGCGGGCTCGATTTTCGAGAGAAGTCGAAAACTGAAAACCGCATCGTAAGATCTCAAGGTATTTTTGAGCTACAGGGTGATTCTCAAAAATGTGCGATTTTAAAGGCCCTCTAACTTTTTTAATTGTAAGAATAGAGTTTTCGGAAAAAACATTTTTTTTAGTTTTTTTAAGCGGGAATGACTGTATTGTACCCGTTTTGTCTTAGAGCCTTTAGTTCCCGAGAAATCACAGAAAGCTATATTTCTTTAAATTATTATTTATTAATTAAACTAAGTAACACTTACAATCTACATCTAACAAGTTTCTTTAATTCTAAAACAAATGCTCAAATTGACGGCCGTTTTCTTCCCTGATTTGCTTGTGTGCCACCATAATATGGAGATTTTGCTGCTTCCAGAAATAGCAGTTATACCTAGTAAATATTCCATCACTAGTACTTCTTGCCATTTATTTAGGTACCACCTGCAAAGTGCACGTCTTGGAGTCTACTTGTGCACCTGCACGGAATTGCGGCGTGGAATTCCAGTGTTTCTCTCCATGGCCCTGGTGGAAGTATTAGGGTTAATTTATATTTCTCCCAGAACCGATAGTTCTTCCAACTCTCTATCTCTGGCTAGGCTTCCGTATTCTTGTAGATGTCGTTTTAACTTTCTAAATATTTTTGAGCTAGGTTGCCTTCTTTTCGGATATCTCTAGAAATATAGATTTAACGCCCTCTTGTTGATTTTAGTTAACATTTTATCATGTACTGTACAAATATTTCAAACATTTTTATAGCTTGACGAAGACTTGGGCGTATCATGGCAATTGTTTTTATCTCATCATAGCTACCTAGATAGATACCGTAAAACTGCATAGGTCAGACTTAAGCACAGCGTACTATGGTAATTATTAAAAATTGCAAATATGTTTTCAACTACTTACTTACAACTGTTTGACAGGAAATTTTATTAGAAAACTATTTTTTCCATGTATTCCATTTAAAAAAATGTAACTTTGTCTTATATCTTGTGAACTCAAGACTTTAAGACAAAATCGGTGAAACAGGTAGGATTTGCCCTTAAAAAATCTTCAAAAAAATGTTTTTAATAAAAACCTCTATCTTTACAAATAAAAAAGTTATAGAGAGTTTTTAGAAACGCACATTTTTAAGAATCACCCTGTAGCCCAGAAACGCTTTGACATATCATGATGCGGTTTTTAGTTTTCGGCTTCTCTCGAAAATCATGCCCGTAACATGCCTATTAGTTTTGGGCTAACTATGCTGCAAATGTCTAAAGCCATAGAGGCCCCTCGGACTTGAACCACCCTGTACAAGTATCTGGTTTTTGTGGTCCTACCATTTTAACCTAGGAAGTAGTACCTGACCGTGGCATATGACGTCCTGCCATGGACCAACCACTGCTGCTTGAACTGTCTTGTAGTAACTACAATATCACTGGCACTACTAGAGTCAATTTCGTCACTAATGTTATCATATTTTCAATTTCATGTTGTAAAAATTTCTTGGGCATTTCTTTTTTTTTTGAAATTTGACGAAAAAATACACCGAACTTTACCCAATTGTATTAGTTATAAAACTGAGTAATATTCAAAAATGGTGCACAGATAACAGCTTACGATAGCATGTATAAAATGGATATCATATCATCTTTTATTTTTACATAAACATTTGATAAAGGCACGGCGTTGCTGTCATATAACTGTCAACATCTGAACTTTTTTGTTCTAATTTAATTGTATTCATTATTGAAAAATAGACACTTGTTATTAGTTTTTGTGAAATATCTCGCGCACCCTGTATAACTGAGCAACATCGAGAGCTAAAACGTTTGTTACACAAAATCGTTTGCCATAAAAATCGCTGGCCAAAATCCAAAAATAAAATATTACAACGAAACAGTTCCACCAGTTCACCGCAGATTGAACGAGTGACTAGGGTTGTGGAATTGATCGGTCAATTTTTTTTTGTGTCAATTGACCAATTAATTTTAAAAATACCATGAAATTTAATTTATTTAATTACACTTATTTATATTGTGCGTTGCGTCGCGACCGCGTCGTTCTGAGAACTAAAGGGAGTGGATAATTATATTTTATAGCATTCGGGTATTCCTTGAAGACGGTTATCGGTGAATTGGACTGATCGTGATAATTGTTTTTAGTGTTGTGATCGAATTTGACTAGTTAATTAAGAAGTGGTCAATTGATCCGTCCCAACACTACGAGTGACCCTTATTTTACAGTATACTCACTCCCTAGACAAAGATGGTCTTACCTGTCGCTGTCGAGGTGGTCGACGGTGTGGCGAGCAGCCTCTGCGGCGCGATGGCGACGGTCCGCGCCGGCGTACTGGGAGGAACTTTGACGGGAGTGACGCCGGGCGGGGCGGGTGACAGGGCGCTCATCGTAGACGGACAGGCGACGGAGACGGTGCCGCTAGTTGCGCTCGCGATCGCCGGCGACGGCTGCGTCGTCTGTTGCTGCTGTTGTTGCTGGTGGTGGTGGTGGTGGCCGGCGGCCCCGCTCGCCACTGTCTCGACCAGTTTCATGCCGATACACGCCCGCGGACCGTAACTCTTGCCCTCGACGGTGACGAGAGATACGAGCGTGTCGATGACGCCATGATTGTTGGAGATGAAGTTGCACGCTCGCTCGCCGAGCGACGACAAGGAGTAGAGACACTCGAGTGTGTAGATCAGCAGCATCACGTCGTGGATGGTGAGGAATGAGCACACCCTCCGATAGACGTCCGACTCGAGCACGCGCAGCAACACGTCCTCGTTGCGCTCGTTCTGACTGAGTCGGTTCAGTACCTGCAACGTCCGGGTTTATTACAATTAAAATGATTCAGTTATTTATTATAAGGGATAGACCAAAAATTTAGCGGATGCTATCACGCCTAAAATCTTTTAAAGTGGTTAATTAAAAAAACTAAATACGTTTTTGTGTAATTAAAATCCCATTTCATCAGCGCAAAGAAACGTCATGAACAGTATTAAAAATGTCCGTGAACTCCATCTTTACAGCTGTCGAGTTAGTTGGCTAGAGTTTAGGGAGCTGATGAGTGGCCTAGATATTGGTTTGGTTATATACAGTGTGGCACAAAAGCTTTAATCAGCCATTTTTCTCACGGGTCCCTGTAAAAGGATTCAAATTTGGGAAGCAAGGATACACAATCATTAATGATATTAGCCAAATTATCAGGTCTATCCTTCATCAGATATGGCCATAAAGTTTTGATTTTTTCAAAAGTATTTTATAATTTTTCGGTAGGTATACCTTTTTTTTATTAAAAAAATTACTGGTAACTCCTACTAAGATATTAAAAAATTCTTACTTGGAAAAGGCACTGTGGATTTGTACGTCAAAAACAGGGAAATGTGGAAGGAAGAAAATTATAGCGGATATACTGTTTTAGGAATAATTATTATAATGCTTGCGTTTTAAATGTTAGTTTTCCTTTAACCATTTCAACCGTTTTACACCATAAAAGATGAACAATCTAAATATTTTCTGCTGCACCAATGCAACAAAAGCTCTGAAGTGCGAAGCCAGGTTTTAAAGTATTTTTGAATCACAACTAGTATATTTTTATATATTTATTCTCATGTGGCTATGAGACAAGTCTCACCTTATCTGTAAAATAAATTTTTATTAACCTGAGGCTCACTCGCTACTGGTTAGGACCGGTTGCATAGTGAATCCAGTCGGCTCATAATCGGTTTATTCCTATAATCAGGTGTAAACCCATCTACCTATCTTGCTAAAAACTGAATTTTCGATTATTTATATCACAGTCATTTTTATGATGAAGCTTAAAAAATGTTAAATGACACCCTAAAAACTTTAAATTTCACTTTTAATCTAGTCTATAGAGAGTGGTCCGTAATTAATGATGTAGATGTAGATTCCAGATGGAAAAACAAAAATACCTTAGCAAAATGGTACTTGTTTAAAAGATGTTGAATTTTTCATTGTTGTTATTCATAAAATGTAGATAAATTTGATTTGGCAGACGTAAACTTCTACGTTAGCTGGTGCCTGTAATAAATACGGGACGATTATAATGAAAAAATATTTAAGAAGATAGTAATTTAATTAATAATAAAATTAATTAATAAATAAGATTAAATTATATTTTTTGTGGAAACTATAATTGCCATGGAAATTTATGTGTCTTGTGCGGATCAAGCACATAGTGTACGTCCTGGGTACAATGCCTCCCATTGCGAAGTAAAAATCACGTCATTCAAATGAAACAATTATATTTGTCGTTTTCGATTTGACATCCGACTATGGATACTTTGAACATTCGATACTTGGTGGTGTTGCCCAAATGAACTGTCAAATGATATCAAAGTCCGGCCATTTATTTTTTCACATGTTGTATGTTGTTTTATAAATAACAATTAATCAAATTATTATAGAAACAAAATATATAAAAAATATATAAATATGTTAATATATGAATTTCCATATAATAGCAAAAATTGTTCATTTGATTTTATCATTTCTATGACATCATTCATTGATTGAATTAGTTTTGAAAATTTAACCTATTTTCAAAAAGTAAAATATTATGTATATTATGCAATAATAACATTATACAACAGTACTAGCTTCAATAAGAGCATATTAGCAAATAACGTAATGAGCAACAGAAAGACATCTCCATAAGTGGCCTTTTTTTGTCAAAAAAGTTGCCTCATTTTTATATCACGCTGATGTCATTTCAGTTTAAACGAAGTTTATTGAGATGCCGTAAGTATGGCCGCAAATTAAAGGGCAAATAAAACCAAAAATTATAAGTCAACGAAATGGGATAAATAAAAGTTTGTAAATTTTTATGAATTATTCTTTAGGTTTTTATTTAGAACACGGTTTCATTTCATTTTTTATACTATACCCAAATCGCTAACCGCTTTCGTAAGAAACCACAACTTGGAACTAAATGTTTTGCTGTTTGGCAAGGGCAGTGGCGACATTGAAAACTTTTTAAGATTACAATTCAGAATGTTAATGTGTGTGAAATGAACAATATATTTAAAATTTAAACCTCACATAAATAAGTGCAACCAAAAAGCATACATAAATCTAAAAATGTTGTTTCCTCATCGCCACGTATTTAGAGTATTAATATTAATAGAATTGAACTGTTATTAATTACTTATTGGCGCTGCGATGATCTAGTATTAGCATCTGTAATAATATTGTATTATTTGTTATACCGGGTTACATAAAGTGTAACTACTTATAATTTCCATCTGCGCCTGACTTGTGTTATTTCTATATTCTTTTCTTTGAGGTCGGATAGAAATAAAAATAAATCGACGATTTTCGTCGGAAATAACTAAAATTTTACAATTATTCTTTATTTTCAGTTACTGATATGAGAGTCTAATCTATGAAAGCGTGTATAGTCGGCATAGAATTATTTTCGAACTAGAGCCGAGCCCAATTTCTGAACAATTCGCGAAATTATGATTCTACGCAACGCTTCGCCCAGTACCTCGATCGATGACAGGCAAGCTGCGCGGTCGTCGCTGTGCAAATTGCGCGCGACAATCTTCAGGAGAGACGTGCCTAAAGCGTCCTGCTGCGCGGCATCGCCACGCACCTCAAAATCGACCGCGACGTTGCCGAGCATGTCCATGCCGAGATTTTTCAAGTTGTTCCAGCGCGACGTCGCGCAGAGTAACGCGAATCGGACGAAGTGGCGGTTGCGGGTGAGGAACGGCACGTTCTCGTCGATGAAACAGAGGTTTCGCAGTATCGTGGCGATTTGGAGGACCCGCTGACCGACGTAGTCCTGCGTGCCCAGCGTCCGTCTCACGCAGAACAGTTCATCGTCCGCGCTGTCGGTTTTGAATTTTTTGGTTACGGAAGAGACGTCGTCGTCGGCGTCGTCATCGTCGACCATATCGCAGTCGCCGTTCGATTGCACCGAAGGCTGCTGTGACGCCGGCGTCGCCTTGTCGGAGGTAGTGGCGGCGGCAGCAGCTCCGTTCGCTACGTCAGCGTACTGCAGGTAATCGTCCTTTATTATAGTATCACAGGGCTTCGTTTCCTCTTGACCGAGCTTCGAAAATTTCGTTTCGTTGGTGAGATCCAGAAATTCCTCGCATTCGAGCACATCCGACCAGAAGTTGTGGATCGGTTTCTTCCTGATGTCCTTGTAGTAGTACACGAACAGTTGCCTGAGAGAGCCTGTGCCGAGGGAGGGACAAAATATGCGTTTTATTATTATTTACAAGTAGCGGGTCTATCGGTGGGTAAATCGATCAAGAGAAAATGCTGCAAATTATTTCCGAATTTCTGCCAAATCTTTTTTTAATAACCACAGTTAGAATGAGTACTGTTTTAAAGCTGAAATAAATTCAAATCTTTTTGTCTTTCATTTATCTCTGATAGGAAAGTGGTGGAGAAATAAATTTAAGGAATATGAGTTTTGATGATAATCGATATTTTGTTTTGTTCTTAACGCGTTGATTTCTTCTAGCCATTTTTAATGCAATAAACACAATCACAGTAAAATAATAAAAAATAGTTTTCCAAATTTTACTACTTCAATATGGGTAAGGGAGTAAGGATAACAAAAAAGCAATAATAAGCTGCAGGGTGGTTTCGCAGCCTCTGAAATTTTATTTGGATTTGAAATACTATTTTAATATATATACTAGTTTTTTCTATACCCTCTATCTAAATACGCAGTTGTACACAGATCGAGAGTGCGGACAGTGTCATTTTAGAACGTCGGTTTCGTTATCTACGACTCCCAGAAACTTCGGACATTTCCGAGATATTACCACAAGCGTTTGGGAATAATTTGATTTTTTCGGAGATATTACCTATGGCTTCAATTTTGACGTTTACTGTTTACCAAACTTCTTGTATAAAAAGCTGTTATTTCGGAAAGGAGAGAAAATTGCAGAGTAAAAACCCGTCAAATTAAACATTTATTTTGTACCATAGGATGCGTACCTTGGGATGCGGATGTCGCAGGCGCAAGACTAAAATTTTATTAAAATGAGTGAACCCTATTCGAAACGCCCACCCCATCCCCCGCCAACCTTTAGAAATAGATCAAGTATGATAAATATCTTGGCTTTAAAACAGTACACTCACTCGCCATAACTATAGCACAACTTAGGATTGCTGAAACCGAAACTGAAAATCGAGATGCCCCCTTAGCTAATTTACTTTACACAGAACTAGTTCGCGAAATAAAGTTATTTGAGGTTGGGATTGAGCGTAGCAATAGATCAGAGAGGTATACTCACTGTGGTTGAATATGCCCGCATGTGCAAGCAGATAGTCGACGATCCTGGGGTGCTTTTCGAGTTTGAGGGTGTGTTTGCCATCGTTCGAGAGCAGGGTGCACACGTTGATCGCGAAGTCTTGTTCGTTGGGCAAGGGCGAGATGAGCGACAACGCAAGCCTGTCGTAGTCCGACGGCCTGTACAGATTGGCCGCCAAATGATACGTCTCTCGTTTTTCGTCTGCGCCGGGGAACAAAGAACAAACCACATAATAATTTTTCTTGAATTCCCAAATTGTAGAGGATCCTAAAGGGGGTAAAGTTTTCAGCTTACTATTTTTTTTCAACCTATTATTAGTTTGCCATAGTGGTGAAATATGTTTTAAAAGACAATGGTGGAACACAAAAACTAGTAATAAAGATGGAACCATCAAGCAAATTAGTTTATTAACGGCGTTTTGAAGAAATTTTATGTTGAGACAGCAATATAAAAAAAAACTTTTATATATTCAATTGTCTTATAAAAAACGTCACTTTTATCGGCGTAATTCAAAACACATTAATTTATTAGCGATATAGAAATCTTATATCGACTTTTTTAAATTAAAAATTATTTTACTCCAAAAAGAGACTAAACATTTTCTTGTTTGTCGAATCCAAATGAAAATATTGAGTATACTACAGTCAGAGCTGAGTTACGCCACTTATAGTGAAGTAATCAAAAATGATCCGTATGTCTTAGCTATATTGCTACCATCTGAAAAACTGAAAACCAAAATTCCTGTGTCGATTTACGACATCCAGAAATGAAGCTGATAAAGATGTCAAGCTATGACATATAACACTTATTTTTTTTTAATGTTTTCTTAAAATAGATTTCAAATGTAAAAGAAAAAAAAATTTTAAAAATTACAAAAATTGTTTGTTTTCACAAAAGTGTACGCCGTAATGGAATGCTCGAATGCTCGAATTTAATTGTAATTTCGTTAAATCAAACCGGAATTTAATTTCCGTTTGTACACCGCTAATAGTTTTGGACAGGCCTTAATAGCTCCCTTCAACTATTTTTCAAGAGATGTTCAGTACAATTTAAACAATTTCTTAGGCGCGGCGATACCGGCCGTTTTTGTTTGGTAACGTCCTCTACCGCGCTTCCACGAGAGAGACAAAGTCGTAGCTCGAGACAACTTTTTTAAAGCCGTGTTTACAAGCGGACGTGCTAAGGTAGTGTGCGTTTCGCGAGCGCTGACGGTGCGGGCGTCGCGACGCGCAGCCTCCCCACCCACGGACGCGTTATTGATTTCGCTTCGCCGGCGCCGTCGCCGCCACTCTTCGCCCGTCACTATTTATTTTGAACGATGCCGACGGCGACGTTGCCCTTGCCGCTCGAATTTCCAAGATTCACGGAAACATTACAAAAACCAAAACAAAATATTTGGGCGTAGACAAACGAAATTACCGTAATAACTTTTCGAGATCTTTTTTTACCACAATCTATTTTAGGCGTTTCGTATGTTCTTCGCCACCATCAACTTAAGATTTCCTTATTGTTTTTGAAAGGTACACCGTGTGGCAAATAAAACGATCCACCATACGATATGGAAATCCATCGGAGATACGAAAAAAGTATGGTACAAAAGTTTCTTGGACTCTCCTGAAGATTTATAATACCAAAACTTTGTTTATACAGGGTATTCCAAAAGTGTCCCCCCGACATTGACTTTGTTATTTTAAATGGAACACCGTATATATTTCGACATTTTTGGAATCTTTTCAATTCCTATTCAAATTTTGCATACTTTAGGCAGAAATTGAGGTTAAGTGTTTTAATTTTGTTTGTTTTCATTTTTTGATTGCCTGACTAAGGAGATGATTCATTACTTAATCAGTTTGACAAATGCGTCTTAGCTTATACAGGGTGTCCCAAATAGGTGTTGACGTTTTGGCGAATTCATTTACCAAAATCTCAAGATTTTGAAATAGAACCCTATATTTTTATTCAGATATCAACTCTGGACAAAAAATAAGGTAAGTTTGTAATTTACCTTAAATTTAAATTTTACTTACTTTTTGAGATATTCGAGGTTTAAAAAATTAAACAAGAGATTCTTGCTCGAAATAATAGTGATGCGGTTAAAAATGCGGTGTCTAGCATTGTGACGCGCTATACAATGTGTATTGCAGAAAATGGACAATATATTGAAAATATATTACGCTATTACCATATTTAAATTTTTTGTTAGTTATTTGTTTCTGCATTTTTTTGTTTTATAAATTTATTTATTCAAACTTGTTACCTACATTATATATATATATATATATATATATATATATATATATATATATATATATATATATATATATATATATATATATATATATATATATATATATATATATATATATATATATATGAAATATATATGAAATATATATGAAATTTTATTAATCTGTTAAAGTGTGAAGTATAGATTTTTTTCAACATTTGCACGTATCAATGGACCCCTGTATTATTAGCAATAGGTTTTATTCGTATATCTGGAGTATTATATCTTTAAAAGAAGTAGTATTATGTCTTTGCTATATAAAAAATACCTATTTGGGACACCCTGTATAAGCTGAGGCGCATCTGTCAAACTGATTGTGTAGTGCACGATCCCCTTAGTGGTAAAATTTTTGTTGCAATACCTGGATCAGTAGCGTCACAACACAAATTTATATGGGGCATCAAAATATTAAAAAAAAAACATTTCTGAATAAACTAGGCAAAAATCGAATAGGAATTTCTTAAGAAAGTGACCTTTATTTTAACCAAGGATTCCAAAAATGCCGAAATATACAGGGCGTTCCATGTAAAATAACAAAGGTGATGTCGGGGGGACACTTTTGGAACATCCTGCATCAATAAAATTATAATAGTTTAAATCTTCTGGAGAGTCTCAAAAACTTTTGTACCGAACTTTTTGGCGTATCTCCTATGGGTTTGCAGATGGTATAATGGATCGTTTTATTTGGCACACGGAGTACATAGACATAACCTTAATTTTGCAACTTTCATTCGTTTTAATGCCGTCGATAGTGCAGGTTGGGCCAACCAAGGTGTTTGGTTAGCATTTCTGGCAGCATTAAACAGTTCCCAAGACGATAAACTTTCAAAAGTTCTTTTGCACTTTTGAATTTTACCTAAAGAATTGGAAATAAGTTTGGCAAATTCGGCACAAAGGCAAATTTTCCGTTGTGCCACTACGAACTATTTTCAAATATGAACATATTTGCACAGCTTCACATGGACGAGGCTCGAAAATGTTTTATTTCTTCACGTTGTAGACGTGACGCTGATAGTCTACACGACTTACAGTTGGTCAATAAGGTAGGAGAACAAAACAAAATGCCATTGCCAAAAACACAACATATATAATTATCTCCCGAAACCTAAATAATTTTATAGAATCCACCTTTGCATTGAGCGCGATGCACAGGGAACTGAAATTCGTAAGCGGTTACGTGTTTTTATACGGTAAGGAACGAACAAATTATCGTAGAATTCTAAGAAATGTCAACAACTGTTTGAATTAATTAAAAAGAGGACAACAGCATATTGCTACGGGCTAGCTCAGTAGTTCTTAGAACCTAAGACTCTTGCTTCATGGTAATTATCACGGATAAATAAGCTAAATCAGGTACCTCATTTTTCAAATAATTCACTCCAAACTCCGAGGTACTGAACCTGTCCTCGTTAAAAGGCTTTCCGTCTAATGACTGGCGGGCTCCTACGTGCAACTACATGGCAGTCAAGGCTACTCTAACAGGGCAACTCCAACAAGTAGTCGCCAACAACCAGGTGTCGAAATCAGGACGAAAGGAGGAACAAAGCAGAAAAAAGTAAAAAAAAAACCTAGAGCAAAGAATTGTTTCACGTCTCGCTAGACTAGAATACCAGAAAATGGTAGCAAACTTACCCACGATATGGTTTGGGGCTTTCGACGTTCTGTCAACTGAAATTCGACTAAAACGTCGATTTCCAAAAATAATCGGCTAGACAGGTCACTGTGGATTTAAACTGCCCAAGACAAACTCGATATATCCCGATGGATAAATTCCAAATTGGAAAAAAACTTCCAAAAGCGCCTTCTTAACAGAACTTCTCCTGGTATCGTCAGGTTAAAGATAAAATCAAAGTCGAAAAGTGACTGACATCTGGGATAGGCTAAATGCAATATTGGTAAGTATCAGACCACAAATTTGATAAAAAACTAACTCTTAGTTAACCACTGATAAAGCATAACCAAGCTCGTCCCTTTGTTTTACTTTGCCTGCCGATAACTAACCACTAACAATACCATGCAAATCTAACGAAATGTCAAACAACCAAAATTGTCTTAGAAAAATACACTCGGCTCGAAGACATGCAAACAGAGTTGAAAACTCGATTGCAGAAATGACTAAGACTTTTATTTTTTTACTTCTGATTTTAGATTTAGATTTAGAACTGGGAAGAAATTGCGAATATAGTTGTACCGTTACCTATTTGACACCAATCAATTGTACGATTAACATTTCTATGGATAACCAACTACATTATTTATTTTGTAGGAAAAAAAAGAATTCAAATAGGAACCACTTCATCAGAAACCTAAAAACCAATTGTTTAATCTGCTGATGGAAGTAAAGATGGACAGCAGGAGAGAAATCGGAAGGAAGAAAATGTCTTCTCTGCAAACGGGCAGAGGTACCTTCTGTGCAGTTGTTAATACATACTACAAGGGTAAAAGTCCTCGCAAACATCCATTGCTGGATATGCATTGGAAGAAAAAAACTTGTTTGGTTGCCTTTGTGCAACAAAAACCCCGCCCGACCGCCCGCTAACCGACGTCAGCATAAGTGCGGCAACGTCGCGGTCGAGCCCGAATTCCTGCGGTTTCGTCAACCGTGTTTGGAGGCGCCGCCGCGCGCGCGTATGATTGCGTATGTGTGTGTGTGTGTGTGTAAGTGTTCGCGCCGGCCGAAAGCGGGCCACGCCGATAATTTTATTTTTATTATCGGCTTCACCGGCAGACTAGCACGAAACTGTCGGGTGCGGGGTACGGGTGGGCATCGCACACGTCTGGCGCGTAAAATCGGCTGGCCATGGAGAGGGGGCACGGCGCAAGGTGGGGAGGTTCGCAAAAAAATGCGGGTGGGAGTTGGATGCAATTTGTTGCTGTTCCTTGTTTAAAAAAAAAACAGGCGGGGGTCTAGATCAATAGGTGCGAGCATGTGTGTTTTCAAATTTTCTGTAAACTGTATATTTAATACACCAGGTCGTTCAAAAACCGAGTGTAAACATTAAATTGCAAAAACTGACGAATCTGATTCATTCATTTTCTCTCAATTTTTTCGCTGCTAGCCATTTTTCAGCACGATATTTGAAAAATGTCCACGTCCATCTATCGGTGGGGTGAGATTCGAACTCTCAACCTCATGGTGTCTCTACATCACCGAAATTCCTAACGGAAATGATTGCTTTTGTTAGTCGTACTAACGAAGTCTTAATTTTTTACAATATTGTGAAGAGCGAGAAGAATGGGTTAATTTGGTTAGATTAATTGAGCAAAACTACAAGCTCTAATAGGTTGACGAGTACCTGATCCGAGAGCAAACCTTCCGTAAAAATTCTCTAGCGCTGCTATTTACACACATTGCAAGTAATTTGTGAGAATTGTCTGGGCAAGTGGACACCAGGCTTAAAACCAGGGTGCAGCGCTCGGAGTTCATTCAAAAAAGTCACGGTACCGCGCAAATATTGACGGATATAAATAGAGACTTTATATAAATGATTAGTCGTGTCTAAAGTGGACAGCAGTGTGTAAATAGCTTTGAAATTTTAAGTTCCGTCAATTTTTACGCGAGTAACATGTTTAATATTATTGTCACATTTGTTGTTCTATTCATGTTGATCGCAATATCAAAGCGGGGGTTCACTAAAACTGGTCATAGGCTTTTTTTAACTTTTCTACGTTTCTTAGTATTTCTGGGTTCTTTTGTAACTTACAGGTGCTTAAATATTAAGCCGCAAGATCAAAAGTCAATATTGTTTGCGTCCCTGGGTTTTATTTTTAATTTACGCGTTCCCCTTTCGCCTCCGTTTGTATGTCATGGGAAAAAAAAAAAAAAAAAAAAAAAACGCGGACAAGCGTTACTTGTCTTTAGGAATACCCAAGGGATCCGTCTACTTACCCGTGACATTGTGCTGACCGTAATTGTACGTGTGGGGCACGGAATGCAGTGATCGAGCAGACCAACGCTTGTGCCGACTCTCTTCGTCGTCGTCACTGCCACGATCCGCCTCCTCACCCAAATGGTGCAACTTCTCCCAACGGTCGAGATACCTGAACATGAACATATCGACTTTATTGACTATCAATGAAGACGCGACAAGCCCTTCACAAATACATAGTATAAAATAATAAACAAATAAAATGTATAAAGCTCGATAATTTACTTGATACAGACTCATTATTGAGTGTGTCCAAGATAAGGATGTCTATTATGTCCATATCTTGTAAAGCTCAAACAGTGGCAACGAGAAAGTAACCTTTTTTTGCATCTCTTTAAATAACATCTTGAAAATTTCCGTGTATTGTGACGAATCTTCGAAAGTGATTAGAATTTTTTTTTTATGCTTTAATTTTAATTAACATTAAAAATAAAGTTAGACCCAATAATATAAACCAATTAATTAAGGTAATTAAAACTGAGAGTGAGTTAATACCAGAGAGCAGTTTGGAAAGAATGTGTTTATCATGTACTTGAATTCGAAAATAATTATAAAAACTTGGGACAACGTAAAACCACTAATTATATCTTTGGATGATTGATTAGTGATGGCTCAAATTCAAACTATTGTGACGACGAATTTTATGGAATATGTATTTATTATTTATATGATTACAATTATACAGGACGTCATAAAATAGAATGTATTCATATGAATGCCTACGAGTAAATAAAAACATTAATAGCATTATTACAGTCATGACCATTTGTCGTGTGTCAGACTATAATAGTCTGTTGCGGCTTTCGTAACGCAAGGTTGCTTTTTTATGAAATGGAAGGCGCCACAAACAAAAATGTCACAGCTATTTTGCATTTTTAGCTACAGAGTAAATTTTTAAGCACCCTTCGTATTTCGAAACGTTGGGGATAGGATTTTTTTCCTAGGATCCAGTGGCATAATCATTTGTCTTTGTGTGTCTGCGTGTTTGCGTGTGTGTGTGTGTGTGTTGTGGGTGTGTGTGTGTGTTGTGGGTGTGTGTGTGTTGTGGGTGGGTGTGTGTTGTGGGTGTGTGTGTGTTGTGGGTGTGTGTGTGTGTGTGTGTGTGTGTGTGTTTGCGTGTGTGTGTGTTTGCGTGTGTGTGTGTTTGCGTGTGTGTGTGTGTGTGTGTGTGTTTGCGTGTGTGTGTGTGTGTGTGTGTTTGCGTGTGTGTGTGTGTGTGTGTGTGTGTGTGTGTGTTTGCGTGTGTGTGTGTGTGTGTGTGTGTGTGTGTTTGTGTGTGTGTGTTTGTGTGTGTGTTTGTGTGTGTGTGTGTGTGTGTGTGTGTGTGTGTGTGTGTGTGTGTGTGTGTGTGTGTGTGTGTGTGTGGGCGCGCGCGCTTGTGTGTCTTTCAAAATTTTAAAAAATCTAACTTGTTAATAGCTAGACAAAAGGAGATATTGGGTACTGGTTTTCACCTTCGAAAAATCTATCGAGAATGTGCATTCTGTTTTCCCATAACTACCGAGATCTCCTACAGAAATATCCAAATTTGTCCACCCATTAGAATATATTATTACACTAGAAAAACCTACAATCATGATTGTCTTTAGGAAAAGTACAATATTTTCGTTGTTTGATACACGGAATTTTAAATTGTTAGTCACAATTGCATGATATATTATTATATTTTTTATGGAAACTACAATCTGTAGGTTATTACTAAACATTGATTTTTTTTACTCACTGACACGCTTAACGCAAACTCAATATTTCAAATAAAATGTTTCTGCAGCTTTGGTAAAATATTTAGAGAAATCACAACTTAAAATTCACAGATTTCCGTTTCTCAGACGCGCCGATAGATCGCCACACCAATGCCCACTTGCGTGCCGGCTTGACGATAAAAATATTCCCTAACTCTAGTGGTGGTAAATAAGAAAAAATATAAATATTTTCAAAATTTAAAACTGCAAACCTACCCTAAACCCTTTTGTTACCGACTTATACGAGGGCGAGGAGAAAATGAAAAAAAAAAGACACGGCCGACGTTTTAGCCCAGGTTTATGCAACAATCGAAACCAAGAGAATGGCCATCAAAATACGCGCTGACAACGGCACTGACCCGACCCAATGCCGCGACGGCGACGGCGACGACGAGTTGCAATCATCGTCGTAGTAGTCACGGTGCACCGGCCGACGAGTAGGGTTGCCCTCAGTCGGCGGGCTGCAAGCCAATGTGTGCGATCGCTAATCAGCGCTCCGCCGAGGTTTTTGAACGTTACTGGACGACGCGGAAAAAGCGCAACCGCCAACCGATGACCTCCGCGGGAGGTTTCAACCGAAGAAAATACTCTTTTAAACTTTTAGAAAATAAATTTCTGTTGGGAAAACATTTTTTTTAATTTAAAGAATGTGCTTTCATTTACGGGTCGAATTAAATTCGCACAAGACTGAACCCAACGGTTTCTCCTATTTTTTTGCGTCTCACCTAACAAACAAAGTGAAAACAATGAAATTTAGCGATTTTTTCAGAATTTTGTTGTTTTTTTTGGTGAAAAAAATCATCAGGATATTCTCTTTTCAATATAAAAGTAATATATTTTAAAATTGTTGCATGCAAAACAAATTATTTATTGCTGTTAGGCAACATATTTTATAAAAATCGAAAATATACGGGAAACACTGTGCGGAATGTTCATCTAAATTAGTTCCACTTTTAAAAGGGTGTAAAGTATTAATTTTTTAGATCCAAAAATCCGAATAAAAAAAGAAATTTTGCTTGATTTTTTTTTATGGTGCAGCCTTTATAACACACAACTGATTTTTATCTACCACTCTAAAATACCCGCCGATCAAGCGTTCGGAAAGTGTTCGTCTTTTAGAACTTGCCGAAAATTTAAATTTGCGTTTTACGATGTAATCGTTCAAAAAAAAAATAGTTTAGCATCGTTCGCGATTCAGTGCCTTTATGGATTGATTCGAGTGTTCAAAATTGAACGAAATGCTTTTTTCTATCTACATATAGCGGCATGAAGGCGGAGTTTCCGCCGGCGGGTCAACGTTTTACACAACACGTTATAAATACGATAAAAATAAATTTCATCGTAATGCGTCATTTTCCACAAACCGCCAGCCACAATAAACTGATAACGGAGCCACTAGTAATGTCGCCAATGCAGATAGAATGGGCTGGTTAAAGCTTCGAAGGTAAGGCGTAAATGGAACGTTACAATGAGTTTCAATTAAAATATCGATACAGCATATTAGTGGAGCCTATTGAAAATCAACCAATGGGGTTTGCCAGTTCCCCCTTTAATGGCGTTATTGTGCGCGTCAAGTAATTTTGTCATTTAGTCAAACTTGGTGGGCACATCGCAAGGCTCACTTCGAAGATATTTTATTAAAAGACCTGTGTCCCCAAACGTTGCCGATTAGTTTTAAACATTGATTTTTTAATATTAAAAGAATTCACAAAAAGAGGCCTTTTCGCGTATGGTATCTAATCTTGCGATCAATTAGTTGGGAAAAGTGTGCAAGACATAAGATTGGGGAAGACGATTGGTCTATCTATCTTCATTAAACATCGACATACCGCCCAAAAATTCAGGGATATCATTTTACAAAAATTGTAAGATGTCTCTCCTCGTTTGAAAGGACGTTGCTTTCGTCTGCCCAAAAATGCAAGTTATGTTGTTTAAAGATGTCTTGACGTGAAAAGTTCGATACTTCCGTCCACAAATTCCTTTTGAGAAATCCTACATCTTCAACGGAATGCAATGTTAACTATCACCTTGAGCAAAATCTAGAATAGAGTAAGAAGACGCCAATAAGATTCGTCAAGATCTACAACCACTTTTCTTATGCTGACCGGAGAATCACTTTGAAATGCTTGAAATATGTTTTTATCTACATTAACAACATAGTGTATTAGTAGTAGTAGTAGTGTAATATCTTCGAACTGAGTCTACACATAGGCCCACCCAGTATGACTAATCCTCCACCAAACACATTGCATAAGCTAGCTATTTAAAATATTTTTTCTACTTCTTTTCTTACGCTTATTTTATTTGTTTACAATTATTATTAAAGGCGCCGCATTTCGACCATCTTTCGCCTTACAGCAATTGATTATAAAAAGCATAATGCGTTTAATTCTGTTGAAGACTCGACTTGCTCATTACGAGCCACCCCGAGAATTTTCAGTACTTTAGTCACGGGTCTGGCAGCAATGGGATGTTTTATGTAGATTTTAGCCACATATAGTATTTTCACGTTTGTAATGTAATGTATTCGTGCTGTTTTGTAAAAATATACGCAAAAACTAATGGTTGGAATAAAAAAATGTACAAGAAGTTTAATAAACGCCGTTTGGTTTCATTTGGCACAAGAAGCTTATCGACGTGTTGTATATTATACTTGTTCTACTGCCATTAATTTTTGGGTACATTTTCACAAAACAGCAAGAATACATTTTCTGAGTGATGTGCCGTCAGAATTGATAAACTTCAAAATGGCATGGCTAAAATCTGCCGAAAACATCGCTTCCAACCCCATGGTTAAAGCACTGGAAATCTCCGCAGTGGCATCTGACTTAAAGTGACACTTTCAAAAAGAAAAGTATGCAATACCTTTCAATAACTCATTTATTAAACAGTTTGTTCGTGTCAAATTAAATTGGTGACTTAGTGGCGCTTATCAAACTTGTTGCATTACAAACCATCGTACATAAATTTTTTAATTACACATAATTAGCAATAATAGCACTATAAAACAATATTAGAATATATACAAAATGCCGAATAATTTTTTTTTGTTGAAGTAAGTCTCCAGAATCCCTCCCGACCAATAAGAAAAAAAAACTTACCTCAGATAAATTTGTTTAATTGCGACGCATGCGTTCACGCAATTACGAGGTAACTTGAAACACGGCAAGAGGTCGCCCCAGTTGTTCTTCGAGTTGACCTGAAATTGACACATATCAGTGAGGCGAAGGTTCTGCCGAAAAAAAACGCAAGCTTAAAAAATAAGTTTGGGTACATCAATTTCTTTTTAATTTTCGTTGAGAAACGATTATAAACCTATTCTTATTTTAAGGTAAATATACCTAACACATCCCAACACGTTGCTGTCTGGTGGATATCGGTATGGATTTTTTGTTTTTAATAATGAACCATATACAAGGTGAATCATACTGAGTGCTATATATGAACTTTTATTGTTGATGTTCGTCCGTTTGAAATTTTTAATACGCACGCGCGGGAAAGAGGGGGGTGGGAGGAGCTAGAATTCGAATCTGCGTGCCATCACCGCAATCAAACACCGAACGACCGCCAAAAGGCAAAAACGTTGTCCCAGGTCGAGAATTCAAGTTGAGTGCGTATTCGATTCTTAGCGTGTCTACGTACACCGGAGTAATCGTGCCGCCGAAGCTTCGCACTTGCGCATGACTAACGCCGCGGCGTTTAAATGTTATCCATGCTTTTGGCGATGGTCGTCTTTGTTGCCTGTTGTATTCGACGAGGCACTTAGTTCCATCAATCACGCATTTTAAAATATATCGCATGCCATAGAAATTGCGGGAAGCGCCTAGCTATATTTTTGTCAGTCGGTTTTTTAAATTTCACAAAAGATAAAACATACCGTATTATTACCATGTGAAGTCAGTAGTTAAAAGTTGACAGCCAAAACTTTGGAAGCAACCGAAAACGCGATAACACAGACAATTCAAATGTACATATTCTTTTGTTAATGAAAATGTGGGCGTAGAAGATAACTCGTTCCCAGAAAAAATGTTTGCTTCCACGAGAGTTGCTCTAGGGTGAACGTATAAACAAATCATTTTTTCTAACTTCACTGGAAAACAACTTTCTTTTCTTGATAAAAGTATGTCCATGGAGGCTAACTTTCGCTTCTGGCAAAAATATTCTCTTGCGCTCTTGGTAGTGTTGGGGCTGGTCAGCTGGCCACTTCTTAATTGACTATTCAAATTAGATGAAAATGTTTTAAATAGCATCTTGCAGTTGTAGAGTGTTATCTATCATTATTTAATAATAATACCTATTTTATAATAAATTATTATGGATTTGTGATGTGCAATTTACCTACACTACCTACACCGCGTTTTCAAATGCACAAGAAATTACCTTGTAACAAATCAACTCTTTTTTTACAATTTAACTAATCCCATGACATTTTAGGTACGTTTGAAAATAGTTTGATATTGATTTGTTTATAAGTTATTAGTTTAGTTACTTTAAAATATCAACGACTTTCTTTTTTCCTATATTTAATGTATTGCGTTTTTGCTTTAAACGGAATTATGTTCAAAACAAGTTAATACGTGTTTATTGCAAAAGGACGTTTTTCCGTTCTCTTATAATATTGAGATTATGATAATCAAACGTTTATATTTTAAGGGGTGCTTCTTCTCGGTAGTCCATTTCTGTTGTTTGTGTGTCCAAGTTTGTGTACACATTTTTTTGTTGGTTTCAAGGTAGTTCAAACCAGCAATGTAGAATATATATATACCATATATGGATTGTATAAAAATAAGGATTAAAAAATTATGCAACCAAGCAGGGGTGAAAGATCACACCAAAATATTCATTTCTTTAATTTAATTTTATTACCAAAACCTAAGTAAAGGCAAATAGACATGATTGAAAAACTTTAATTTTAATAAAATATTATATTTTATAAGAAAACCTGTTACATTATTATTGCATGTGTCTGAAACTAGAAAATAGGACTTTCTAGTCTAAGGATAGCATTACCATAATTATAATTTGAATCGTTTCCTTTTCAATCCAAAGGCAGACAATACTTTTGTTTATCTTATTGACTTATAAAAAAGCACCAAATCGTTGACTTTTTTTTAATTTTATGTTTTTTTCTCTAAGTGTACAATTTTTTCGGTCTATGGACACAAAAAAAATCCAATTCCGCGACGCTAGAAATGGGGTTATAATTTTTTATAATTTATATTGCCACCTCTTGAACCGATATTGGAACTATTGAATCTGTATCGGATATTATAGGTAGAAGAATGAGTCGGATGTCACATTTTGGATGTGCGACGCCTACGTCACGTAAAAGATATAGATCATTCGATTCGTAGGATACGCCACAGTTACAGAATATCAAAATTTACTTGGAAGCGCAACTCACTAATGATTTTTTTTAGTTTTTTTCAATAAACTTGTTTGAAAATGTCATGGATCGTTAATCGTACGTATTATTATAAACCATATGTAGGTAGTCACTAGGGTATTTTAGTGTATTTAGGTATTGTGGAAAATCTTAAGAATATTTTGGGCAATTTCGAGTGATTTCAGAGTATTGCGAGGAACGTTCGGTTACTTTAAAGATATCTTAGGAACATTTTTCCAAAAAGGGAATCTTAGTGTAAAGTTTTTTGAGGGATTTAGGAGGCTCGAGCTCCCTCCCTTTACCGTCGCGTCCAACGACAAACGGAATGGCAGAGCCGATCACCAACTACACACCGTTCAGCACGCGGGTGACTGGCAGCGGGTGACGGCCGCGGCGGCGGCATCGAGCAGACGCAAAGCCTAGACGGGGGATTCCCTCGCGCACCGACCATGTGACCAAAACAAAGTAGTCACGTGGACCCCGAACGTCTGCTAGACGGGAGGTCGTCTAGCAGACGTCTGATCGCGCTGGACGCCCCCCCCCCCTTCGCTACGCACACACTCGCACAGATAAAATGTCCACACACTCACCTGGCAAACGGAGGAGGAGTGTTTTTGCACGACGCGCGGTGACACTCGCGAATCGTACGATAAAGCCGAGCTACGCGCCGTAATCTATGTCTAATAAACACACAGGGTGTTTCAAATCAAATGCAAAAAACCTAAGGGGGTGATAATGGGTAGACTGTTATATAAACGATGGGTTAAAAGCCACACCGCGACAAATATGGCCAAAAATATATAACGAAGAACAATCAAATAGAAATATTAATATTATAAAAACACACTTTGTGCATACTTTTTCGTTTTTTAAAAATGAGTAAAAAAAAAATCTAATAGGAATAGTGTAATTCACCATTATTGAATTAAAACACTATAAATTAGTGGCATTTTGCTATCAAACTAATTGAGCAATATCAAATAAACCAATAAGAAACGCCTTAACAAAAGACGACAAAAACTAAAACATAAAATAAAAAAAACTTTTCTCGTTCTAAAAAAATAAAAAATGTACAGAAAGCGTTCTTCTATTAGTAATACTTCGGTAATATTTTCTTGTTTTATATATTTTCGTTTCTGAGATATAAAAAATTACCCTTTATTTTAAACAAGCAAACTACTTAAGTTTTTCGCTTTTGTTTTGAAATACAATACAAATATAACAAGCACAATTAATTTAACCAGAGATCCGCCGGGTCGAAGGACTATTGGCAAAAATACTTGTTAGTCTAAAAAAGTAGGTTTAAAATCGATACCGTGCCACTGGATATTGCCCTGGTGCCGGAAAACTTCAAATTTGTAAAAGGGTGATCCATTATAAATGTTAACCCACTAACTTTATTATTTTACATTTTTGAAAAAAAAAAGTTTAAAGCAAAAGTTCTAGGGTTTGATGAATGATGGAATAGGATGTGTCAAAAAAGTATAACAAAGTTACATTTTTTCAAAATTGAAAGCTCTGTACATTAATTCATAAAAAGTTATTTTACGCTGATTTAAAAAAATATGCACTAGTTATTGTTTACATTAAGGTCAAAATTAGCCAAAAATAAAATCATAACTTAGTTGGCAATGCATTATGGCATCACGCCAACGTCACGTCACAGAGAGACACCGCGTAACAATCTCGGTCCTAAATTTGCCCGTTTTCACAGGGTACAATGTACAAATTTCTGCATCAAAACTCAGAGATATTCCCGACCTTTCAATAGAGAGGGGTAGAAAACAACAAAGTTTTCAAAAATTTACTATGGTCAGTAACGACGTGATGCAGAGATTGTTTTGGAAATTTGAAGTCAATAAATTAAATGTTAACAAATACGTTCCTCACAGTCCCAACTATGCGTATGTTTGTTGCACTCGTTATACGAAGCCCAAATATATAAAAAAAACAATCAACACTGCAAAAACCTCTGGAATTGCCCCAAATTGCATAAATGAATGCCGGGAGAACAGCCCACTCCATTATTGGACACTATTTCAAAAATGTTTGTCCACAAGTCACAATTTTCGAATACTAAAAGTTTTGTCCAAATGTATCGGGTATGTACGAAATTTCAACTTGCAATGCAAAAAAGCTACATACTTCACTATTAACCATATAGCTATTACAGACATATTGACCCTGCCTATGTTGATAATACAGCAACTTATAAAGCAACTATATAAACATTTTTGAGAAGGTCCATTCAAAATGCGCATGGGCGGGAATTAAAATTTCGTGTTTAACCAATGACTTCGCAACATTCAACAATTAACATGGCCGCTGAGAGATAACCAAAAACTTTTTCTCAGAATATATCTAGATCTCGATAAATATTTTAGGAAAACGAGTTAAGTGAACGTTAGTAGGTAAATGTAGTATCTTGAACGGAAAATCATAAACTTCCCAACGAAAATTTCAATGGGGCCTCCTGCGGCGCATCAATTTTTACCGTAGTAGGGCCACTATATTATTCAATAGCTATATGCTTTTGACCACACCTCAAATGGTGTGTTGTTGAATTAAAATATGTCCCAGGGCCTACAACAACTATTTTATGGCAAACATTAAAAAAAAACTGTATTGCATTTTTCCTATAAACTAAACAAGTTAAAGGGAAAAACGATTAGGAACGAAACAAGCTTCAAAACTTGTTTATATGTAATATATTTCAAACAAAAAAAATCAATAACCGCGGTCCAATGCTAACAAATTTCTTTATTGACGGAAGGCAAAATTCCTCTTTAGTTCACTTTAAAAATAGCAGCCCCGTCTTGCCTCATAAAACATTTATAGAATTTGCACGCTCCTAGAAAAAAATGGCGATAGAGCAGGTCGATAGATAATAACCCCGGCGCTGAATATTGATAAACCTATCATCGGTCTGATTGTGCAACGTCGCATTGTAATACGACATATTAATTTCGTATCGACGTTTTTAATTTTATTTCACATCTCGAAACAATTGGATGCGCTCAAAACTTGCTTTTACGACTAATATTATCCAAGGATTCGAAAACCAATACAAATACCTCGTCGAAAAAACGACAGGTTCAGTAACAAATGTCAATAAAAATGGAGATGTACCCCATTATCAGATAAACCGGAATGTTCGACGTGAACAAACTATAACTAACCGAAACGACTCGTTTTTTACAACTCTGGTAAAGCATGGACCAGAACATGAATCCGGCCACCAATGTATTTTCATGTGCTCCAATCAACTTCACCGCGACATAATAATGGCCCGCATTCAGCACTGCTAATACTGCTTGGCGTTTCTCGTCGTCGGCCTGGATCGCGATGCAAAACGGAACCGAGAGGTGATGATGTTCTCGAGTCGCGTGTTGCCGCCGACTACGATGATCAGAAAGCACATCGAAGACGGCGACGACCGCCAGGCCGCCCGCCTGCTACTGATAAATCCAACCCTGACCTTGCTCCAATACACACTCTCGCACACACACACACACACACACACCTTCCGTCGTCGACGTCGCTTTCACGGGCTATCGCCCGGGTCCTCCTCCTCCCGGAGCCGGCGACCGCGTAAAAACACTCAACAAACACAACAATAACACAAATAAAAACGCGCGGCGCGTTACACAGAAAAGGAAAAATCCGCGCCGCGGCACCGCCAATTTCATGGAGCACTCTAGAATTTACAAGCTGTCAAGGCCGCCTACTGGCAAAATAAAATATTTGGCCTATCGATTTGGGAATTAAAAAGCAAAAATACGTACCTTGATCCAACCTCCTTGGGCGATCACAAGGGAATACAATAGATAGAGGTCGATCTCCTTGCTGCCTAGGGTAGGGCACCTCCGAAACGGGGTCCTGTAAGACACAGGCGGATCGGTAATATATAATAAACGAACACGAGAATTTCGTAAATTTGACTGTAAATACACACTCACCCCCTCGTTTCGTGAAACTGGCGCAGATCTTTGAGAAAACTGTCCCGTTCCCTCGAATACGTGGCCTCGTCTTTCCCGAGTATTGTGGCCATCGTAACTACTGAATTAAACGCGAATTTAGAGCAGCACGCGCGATACGAAATACGCGAAATACATGACGCCGCGTTTCCAGAACGCCGTGAAACAATATTGTCCAGAGGACTGTGTGATTCAGTTCGCCTCCCGCATTTGGGGATGCTCTCGAATCTCGCAGTCGTTGGCCAGGCAGGCAGTTGACTCCCTGCACTAGCTAACGCGACGTTGCACACTGAGTCGAATATTGCGCAGATTCATCGCCGCCGATACGACACACACTATTGTTACATGGGTTGAAAAACTATTCCGCAACAAAATGAACAGCAATTCGGTCGCGAATATCAAGAAATTTTTGTAAAAAATGGAAATAACGGGTCGGACGATTGTTAACCCATGATGCTTGACAGGACTACATTACAACATGGCTGCCGGTTCCCCGTTAATGGAAGGCGCGAATAAAAGTCGTTAACCGTCAGCGCCGCGCCGTGCATTTTGCCGTCGGAGTTGCAAAAATTTTCGGCGAAATTAACGCGCGCGTTCAAAAATCGAACTTTCCGAAAGCGCCATTTAACGCGGCTGTTTTATCGCCCCGCACGAAGAAAAAAAGTACACAAAGTTTTGACAAGGTGCGAGTTCAAAAGACTGCCTAACCATAAAATTACGCGCGCGACATCTGTTGGATAAAAAGCGCCTTTCGAATTTGTTTGAAGAGGGCTCCCGTTTTGTATTTTATTTTTTTCCAAGATTCTGCTGATAACGAATTTACTTATAATATTTGATCACGAAATCAAACAGCTCACGAAGGTGACATGTCACGTTAATTTTGCGCTTATAGAGCTTGGACACGATTAAGAACATTTGCCCTTAATTCTCTCAGCACGCAAAGATATCTTGCTTGTTTGACACCTAAGCTGTCGTTTGGCTGTCGCGCAATAGATGGCGCTTTAATATGAGTAACCAGTATTCTTTTTTGCAAGAATTAACAATTGATTATGAAGCATTATTAAATCATAACTAAAAAACGAAGCCGAAAATGTATGCGCAGAGCACAGTCCGTCGGCTGGGAAAACACGTATATTTTTTACATTTAATTTAATCATTTATCTGTGGTCCCGGAAAAAAGAAACCTTTTCTATGGTATTAACCTCCTTTGATTCTTTAAATTTCATTTGTCCACGCGATTTTACAAGATTGTGTAATGGTCTATAAACGGAAAAAATACAATTCCGGAGATACCAATTTAAAAAAGAAATACAAGACCAAACGTAGAACCAGAGATTTAGACGAGGTAAGTAAACAAAATGCCCACCCATTGATGTCAAGACCTTCTAACACAATTTTTTGACATTAGATCCATGAGGATTTGAAGCCACACAATTCACAACAACTTCTAAAGCAGGAAATAGATTTGGATAAGCCAGGGAATGCACAGTTTTACTGCATCCATTGCGCTCGCTACTTTATAAACAGTCAAGCTTTACAGGAACACTTCACCACAAAGCTGCATAAGAGAAGACTAAAGGCGCTCCAAGAGGAGCCATATAGCATAAAAGATTCAGAAAGAGCGGCCGGGTTGGGCAGCTGGAAACCACCAGGCAAGAGGAAAATAGAAAGTCAGCAAACTGATTCTGACAGTGTTATTAAGAAAACAAAAGTTGAACAGTAGCAATGGTTATATTTAATGTTAGTCGGTATTTGTGTAGAAGATATTCATCGGCACTTTATATAACGGGCGACAAGGCTCAGAATGCGTATGCAGTGCTTGTTCCCTTAATTGATTTTGAAGTAAGCAGCAAGAAAAAGCTAGAAGAAAGTATTCAAATTAGAAAGCTTTCAATCAATTTGTCCAAAATAGAAGAGAGATGGTCCTTCTTTAAGATGATTGAAGAGAAGAAGAAACTGTTGGACGAAACGCGCGCGTTTATTGGAAAATCTTTGGAAAAATTAATAAAAAGTGATCCAGAAAACTACGAGGAAATTGAAAAACTTAAGTTGCATTTGAGAACTGTGAAAGAGGATTTTAAACACACAAGAGAACTGTGTTATGGTATTGAGGATAGTGTGGTTTTACAAGTGTTGGATTTGCCAAACATTTTACACCCAAACACTCCTCAAAATTCAGAGTTGGTATTTTACAGAAATCATGAAAATGTTAACAAACTTTCTGATAGCCATATGACGATTGGGGAAAAAAGTAACTACATTAAATACCATAACCCAATGGTTTGTTTCCTCAAATATGATGCGGCCCAGTTTGAGCTTGGAATCCAAAATTATTTTCAAACCTTGTTACTTAAATTGGATTATACTCAATTTTCCAATTCAGATTTTGCAAGGAGCGTGGTAGTTGAAGGTTGTGGCATGGAACCCTCTAATCCGTCCCAAGTGTTTACAATGGAAAATATACATTGTGTAAAAAACAGTGTCGTTAACAGGTTACATTTAGTGGGTGCCGGTTCTTTGGCTTCCTTCATGGCATATTTTACAAAACATCAATTACAGCATCTTCCAATCAAACTATTTTCTATTGGGCGAATATATCAGCCCGTGTCAGATTCTTCTAAAAGTTTCTTTAATTTGAGTCAAACTTCAAATGTTACTCTATTCACCATTTTAGAGGAAGACCGCGATGTTTTGGACACGATAACGCAACAAATTATGTCGATTTACGAAAAGTTAGGTTATGATTTTCGAGTCGTTTTGATACCGGCCCGTAAGCTTACCAAAGCGGAAAGTTTAAGGGTGAGCATTCAAATGTTTTCCAATCATATGGGCGAATATGTCGAAGTAGGGGGAGTTTCGTTTTTCGACGATTATTTAAGCAAGCGACTGCTCGTGAATTACACGTTAAATAACGAGAGGCAATACCCGAAAATCGTTGCCGGATCAATAGTTAATATCCATAAACTGTTGGGCTGCGTACTTGAAAACAATGCCGCTACAGGGAAATCGTTGCTGACTGATATAATTAAGGCCAATTTATAGTGAGTTGAAAATATAATCGCTGCATTATTAATTGGAATAGTTTTTTTTGCGCATTCCGGTGTCCAAATAAATCCCGAATATTGCGAACTCAAGAATTTAAATAAAGAAGTTATAGAAGAATAAAAATTGGTATGGACTTACCAGATTGTGTATCTATGGACCTAACCTCATTATTTGTCAGTGATGTTTTTGAAAAACAACTGGGAAGGGAGAATTACAATAGGATTACGTTATACGATACTCATGTGAATCATTTTGTTGAATTAGTTATGAAATTTAATAACTCAAGTACAATAACTATAAATGTAACGAAGACGCTGAAATCTGCATATGTAGATACATAATTATTTTTATGTCCTTTCCAAGAGAAAATTTATATTTATATTTAATTAGTAATCTTAACTTGTTAATAGCTGGAAGGGTTATAAAATGACCGACGGAGAAAGCAATAAGTACGAGGGCTATAGGCAGAGTCTTGGGTCAGATGGAGATTATGATGATGAATTGGGAGTACCCGACTCCATTAAAATCGTGGACATTGGGGACGGGCCTGTCGCCATAGAGAACTCTGATGATGAGTTAGAAGGTATAATAATAATGTAAATAATAAAACTGGCAGTTTAGTTTGGCTAAAACTTTTCAGAAGAGGATGTAGATGGCTGTATTCCTTTTAATCAAGTTCAGGATTATGTGAAATTTAGTTCTCTTAATAGAAACGTTTATGTGCCAGGCGAGGATGTGGTTGTCACGTTCCTGGATTATGAAAGAAACCTAACCTCGCATATGCTAAACCCTAATTTGTAAGTGAATGTTAAATAAAATTTGTGATGCCTAATTGTGTGCCAGGTACACAATTTCAGTTGTGCATGGTCAATTCTCATGGTCAATCAAGAAGAGATATAAGGAGATTCAGAGTTTGCATCAGGATTTGATCCTCTTTCGGACTGGTCTTAATATCCCACTTCCCAGTAAAACCCACAAAAACAAGAGGCAAACGTTTAAAGATGTGGTGCCGAAAACGAATAAAGGGAAAAGAAAAGCGGCATTGCCGAGGTTTCCGAAGAAACCAGAATTCTTGGTGCAATATGAGAAAATACCAAACCGCATGAAGCAACTGGAGAGTTACCTGAATAACTTGTTGTCCATTACTATTTACAGGAACCATCCTTCTATGGTAAGATCTGATGAAGTATTCATCTTTTTTTTTGCAACTACTTTAGCAGTTAAACTTTAAGCACCTGAGTTAACATTAATGTTATTATATTAAAGGTTACGGTCACTTTACAACTAGTTCGACTATCAAATCTATTTATCTATATATATAATGCATATTAAATAAGTTATTACTTGACGTAAATAATGTAATGTGTTAAATTGTATGTTAGGGTTAGGAGCTTATTGGGTCTCCTATCGATATAACCATAATTAATCAGAATCAATTTTTAGCTGAATTTTCTCGAAATATCGCACTTGTCATTTGTGAAAAGCTTGGGCATTAAAGGTAAAGAAGGCTTGATAAAAAAAAAGACAGGCAGCACTCAACCAGGCCAGTCCGGATGGAATTGTTTTGGATGCTACAGATGTTTCTGTTGCGTCAGGTAAATCAGATATTAAAAGTTGGTAGTTATCCGCAAACCGAACAGTGTGGTATCAGAGACAAAAAAGTTAATGCTTTTTTCTAGCGCTATATTTTCTAACCTAGAATTTTATTATGTTCAATGACACAGTTGTCACTGTGATACGGACACCGTTAGGATGTGTACGCCATAATCCAGGTGCATGGTTCGATTCGGATAGCTATTAGATAATATAGAGACTCTTTTACTGTAAAAATTATATCCGGGACGGCTTTGATATTTTTGTAGAGTTGGAATGTTCTTCCGCGCATGCCTCTAAATTTCACCCGCATTTTCTTCCTTGACAAAGATCTCCACACCCTTTGCTGAATTGCTGAAAAAATGGTGAACCCTGTGAAATTAACGAACTTTCAGCGGCTATTTTGGTTGAACGCTGCTAGATCTTATTAGTTGACCCCATATGAATGTTTAATTGCCTATCTCAATATTTTTTTATCGTCGCTTAAAAAATTGCTGTATGATCATCATAGGCAGGGCCTCTATATATCTGACAGATTGGAATGAAGTTTGTAAGCCAAGCCGTGGGTTTGATAGGTGTCAGCGGTTCTTCAACGAATTCGTGTGCTCTCGTTACGTGAAACGTTGGTTTTTCGTCAAAGACACGTTTTTCGGGTACATTCATCCCGACACTGGCCGCGTGAATTGTGTAATTCTCTTCGACCAGGGGTTCGAGGTCGCTTCGGGCATGTATTCGATGTCGCTGAATAAAGGGTTTCACATCCAGACTCTCTCCAGGTCGCTAACGTTCGAGTGTTGGTCGAGGAGCAAAAGCAAAGAATGGATAGGAGCCCTTAAAGAAGTCACCTCTACTACCGGTCGGTATACCCCTCAAAAAAATTGTATTTAACAGCGTTAAGTTATTTTAGCACGTGACTTTGTTATGCCCAATCCCCACCACTCGTTTGCACCTATTCGGAACAGCGTCGCCGCTTCCTGGTTCGTCGACGGCTCTTCTTATATGTCGGCAGTCGCCGAAGCTATAGATAACGCGAAAGAGGAGATATTTATCACCGACTGGTGGTTAAGTCCGGAAATTTATTTGAAACGACCCGCCATCGTCGGAGATTATTGGAGACTTGACAAACTGCTGCAGAGAAAAGCGGTAAGTTTTCAATTGGCGGTGGCGTCAAGAGACCGTGGTTGCGTTGCAGGAAAGTGGTGTTAGGATCTACGTGTTGCTGTATAAAGAGGTCGAACTCGCACTCGGTTTGAACAGTTACTACAGCAAGCAGAGACTTTCTGATTTACACCAAAATATTAAAGTGCTGAGACATCCAGATCACGCGAAAGTGGGAGTTTTCCTGTGGGCGCATCACGAGAAAATGGTTGTCGTCGATCAGACTTATGCATTTGTGGGAGGTATCGATTTGTGTTACGGCAGGTGGGACGACGATAAACACAGGTAAAGCGCAATAATACTGGCGTTTTTTTTCCTGTGTTTTTAATTGGCGGTTGCCACATTGCATTGTCAAATGTACGCCTGTTTCCTTGCTGCCACTTACTTTGTCCTTTATCAAGCAACGCAAGACTACGATATGGTGAACTCTTAAGAAGCCAGCCAGCAGAGTTTAGTTTCGTTTCGTTTATTGGTGACCTATTTTTTGTTCATTTACGTCGATTTTTAGAACTAACACTTATAAATAATGATTAATTATTTACATTGTATTGTATGTAACTGTTTCACCAATATTATTGACCAGAACGATTACTAGTTACTTTGTTGCAGGCTGACAGACTTGGGCAGCATCACCCCGACGGTGGACGTGTCCATCATAAAGAAGAAAACATCATCGAATCCGGGCGGGGACTCGATCTATCCGATCCCCACCCCTTACTACAAACAATGTCCCACACCGGAGATCTCGAAACCGCAGACCCCTTCACCCAACATCACCAATCCCGACGTTTTGCCCCAGCTAGAACCGGGCGACTACCTGATGATACCGTGCAAGACCCACGTCAAACCCAACACGCCAGACATGGACCGCAAGAACGTCATGGGGTTCATTAAGACCAAAGGCAAGGAGTTGATGAATCTGGTGTACAATCCGAATGAAGAAATGCCGGCTACTCCTGACGGGGGAACGGATGGTTGCGACGTCGACGGCAAAGAAGACCTGCAGACTCCCGAACAGCTGATCGATACTTTGGACGGGTCGGCTAAACTGTGGATCGGAAAGGATTATGTCAATTTCATTGTCAAGGATTTCAATAGGCTGGACTCACCGTTCGACGATTTTATTGACAGGGTGAGATAAATACAACACTAGGTATAGTATTTGTGTTTCATAGCACAGAACAATAGCGGCATTTGCTTGTCTGTAACAGCACATTTTGGTACGTACATTACTGACTTGCATGGCAACCGTATACTGTCGAATGTACAGTCCCGCTGAAATACTAAAATTAATGATAAGTTAACCATAACGCCGAAATTATTGATCGTTCACAGGAACCAGTTGGGATTTATAAAAAATTATTTGTTTTGGTCGATATAGGGTACTACGCCCCGGATGCCATGGCATGACGTCGGGGTGTGCGTGCAGGGCGCGGCAGCGAGGGACGTTGCCCGCCATTTTATACAACGGTGGAACGCTACCAAATTGGAAAAGGGCAAAAATAACAAATCCTACCCGTATCTGGTGCCCAAAACATACGACGACTACAAGACTCTGCCCGTCAATTTTCCCAATCAGACTTACAACGTCAGTTGCCAGGTAAGTCTCGCGTGACATAACTCCAACCACGGTCGCATCTATCGCCATGGTATATTTTAATTGAGACTTTTCATGGAATCATCTCGACTTGAAAAATTTTTCACTTTTTTAAAAATTTATTGCACGTTTGTTTTTTTTTTCTGTCTAGGTGTTGCGGAGTGTTAGCACGTGGTCGTGCGGTTTTCTCGAACCGAACACTGTCGAGCAGAGTATCCACGAGGCCTACATCGATAGCATAACGAGGGCACAGCATTATGTGTACATCGAGAACCAGTTTTTCATTTCGCTGGCGTTCGATAACCCTAACACGCGGAATCAAATCAGCGAGGCGCTTTATAAGCGAATTGTACGGGCGCACAAGTAAGGCGAATTGACAATTCGACGCGAATAACATTTCAGTACGTCTCTCGCTTGTGACTATATCGCGCTACACTCGTAGAAAAAATGGTGGTGTGCTTATGCTGTATATGTGATGGGTTCATTTCAGTGCGTAAGAACGCTTTAAGAGATAATTTTTTTCAACTCGAAGAGATTCTAACCTCAAAAATTAATACGTAATACCAGCAAATGTATGTAGCGGAACATTGTTCATTGGGGGGCGGGGTAATTTCAGGGAAAAGGCTGTATTCAGGGTGTTCGTGGTGATGCCGCTACTGCCTGCGTTTGAGGGGGAGATCGGTGGAGCTACTGGGACTTCGCTACACGCCATCACCCACTGGAACTACTCTTCAATATCGAGGTATATACGGATTAAGTACTTCTTGTGTGGTGTGGGTCGAGTAAAACGTCAGCCGGCTATTCGTTGAGTTATTTTGGGGCGAAAAGTATAAGTCCAAGATACGGGCTGTCACACTTTAAACTCAACGAATCGCATGCCGACGTTGACCGCGTACTTAAGAGACCCCAGTATATGAGAAATGAGTGGGAGCCCGGTTTTGCAGGGGCAAAGACGCCATATTGAATAGGCTAAAAGCGGCGGGCATCGAGGATCCCCAAGATTACATTTCTTTCTACGGTTTGCGGAACCATTCGACGCTCAATTCTGAACCGATCACCGAGCTGGTCTATGTGCACTCGAAGCTTCTGATTGTGGACGATCGAATCGTGATCTGCGGTTCGGCCAACATCAACGACCGTTCTATGATCGGCAAAAGAGATTCCGAAATCGCGGTCATCGTCGAAGACGAGACGTTTGACGACGGCATGATGAACGGAAACGCCTACCCGTGCGGCCGATTCGCCGGCGGTCTGCGTAAGTACCTGTTCAAAGAACACCTGGGCCTGTTGGGCCACGAGGACGAGGCTATCGACTACGACGTAGTCGATCCCGTGTGCGATTACTTTTACAGGGAGGGATGGTACAAGACGGCCAGCTTGAACACGGAGTTTTATGAGAAAGTATTCCGTTGTCTGCCGTCAGATAGCGTCGCTAGTTTCACCGACCTGAAGAGGTTCGCAGAGGGCAAACCAATGTGGGTGGACGAGTTTTCACGAGCCGAAAAGATGTTGGATAGTATTCAGGTGGGTCGACCTGAAGGTCTGTTGTAAAAGAAACTGCAAGAAGTTAATGAAACCATTCGGGTTGTGGAATTGACCGGTTAAATTCGTTGTGTCAATTAACCGAATTAATTTTAAAAATGCAATGAAATTTATATTTATTTATATTGTGCGTTACGTCGCCGTCGCGTCGTTCTCAGAACTAAATTGAGTGAATATTTTTATTGAGATTTCCCGAATGGCCAACTGTCATATTCCGATATTCCCTGAAGAGTGTTATAGCTAAATTGTACATCACAAATGCATAATAATGTATTATAAAATACATAGATGACACTCTACAATTGCTTTTTAAAACGTTTTGTTCCAATTTGACTTGTCAATTAAGAAGTGCTCAATTGACCACGGTCAATTAATTAGTCCCAACACTAGAAACGCATGAAATTAACAAAAGAAACGGAATTTAATCTGAAACAGTAAAATTTGTTAATTGGAGCTCTAGTGTTATTTATTTATATAAATAAACATATAAATCTCAGGTCTGTTAATTTCCTCATTATAATCACAGGGTGATATGAAAATTAGTGCGCATACCCTAATCAATTAGATGGTGCGGTTTTATAGACACTGAAAACGATGTTATTTTCGTGGGTCCATTTTTTTGTGATTTTTCCGCATGTTATGGTGTGATTTCAGGGACATCTCGTGTTGCTGCCTCTGAACTTTTTATGCAACGAAAATTTGACACCCGCCGCCGCGTCGGTTGAGGGAATGATGCCCACTTCGTTATGGACGTGAAGTTCTTTTGCAAGCTTTGCAACATTATGTTAAGAACTTTTTGGTAGATAAAAATGTACTTACTAAATTGCATTGATAATTTTGCACAATCTGAGCAATATGCGGTTGAGCATTATCTTGCTGAAATTAAAAATTCTCACCAATGTGAGGGCCAAATGTATGCAGGATCTCGCTTATCTGCTGTTAAAATGCCTTTATTAACCAAGTCAGCACAAGCAGTTAAACATAAAACATAACTTACCCTCTACTAAATAATCCGATGTTTTGGAAGTTACATTTTGCATATCTTTCATTTGGTCTTCGATAAACTCTTTCCCATTCGTCTTCAGACCAGTCGATGTGTTCTTTAGCAAAATTTAACCTTGCTCTAGGGGTTAATGCTGGTAGTGCTGGGTTTCTTATATCAATTGAAATTCTGAGTTCATCTGCTTTTTTGCCAATTGTTGTCTCCCCAAGCTCTTTAATAATGTTTTTTATTTATAGTCATACGCATTTCGTCTCGTAAATTATGCTGGTATGGTTTGTTATAATTATCTAGTTTCTAAGTAAAAGTTAATATATAAAAATTATAAAATCAGTGGATATATTTTTGATATAACATATTTACAATGCCAACAGTCTCTGTGAAATAATTGTTATACCATTGATATTATTTTTTGATAACGTCATATATCCAGTATTAGTCATTTTAGCATTTACAACGCAAATAAAAGTATTTGTTGAAGTATTTTGGAATGGTATTTTATGCATTTTATAGTCTATAGGGTCGAATAAGTTTTATTTAATCCACCATGTTTATTCAAGATTATTGTAATTTTTATTTGTGGATCATAAAAACTTAGTTGTTGGTTTAATAAAATTTTAACCAAATAACTCGTTTTTATTAGAAGTGTTTACCGCTAAAATGCTAATCTCAAAATTTTAAATAACTTGCCATAAATTAAAGTTTCTTATCTTTCAGACCTTTCGCGGTGAAATGGTCATTGTATAATGTTACATTTACAAGAAAAAAAAATATCAAATTTAATCCTTAACATCACTGCACAATTTCAGCTAAAAATATTAGGTCAATTTCTATACAATTATAAAAAATGGATTCGTTATATCACAAAGTGAAACAAAATTCCCACATTTTTCCAAACGTTATTTGAATATGCTCTTAATTTTTTTAGTTATTCGCAAATTTAGTAACAAGTGATAATGAATAATGTTGTTTTTCTTCTAAATTAAGTTAGTATCGGAATACAGTCATGGCATACGAAAGTGTTTTTTTCGCAGTGCGCGCTTTGAACTGCAAATAATGCAATCCCTACGTAACTCGCACAGAACTCTTTGTGGATAATATCTGTCAACATTTTTAAAATTTTCAAATATTTTCAACAGCAATAGTTACATTTAATAAAAACGTTACCGAGGCAGCTATTAAGCGATAAAACAAAAAGAAACAATACGTCGCCATCCGAGCTCCGTTATCGGCTCTACCTCCGAGCGTTTTTCTATCGTAGACCAAAAGTGCAATGAGAGATGTCATTACCCGCAAACTGGTCAAGTAAATTATGTAATTGTCGGTCGGCCAATGAACGGCGAGTGCATTCCCGCAACTGATGGAGGGGAGAGCCCGTGACGTCAAAATACACACACCCCCTCGTACCCCACCACACGAGCTCGGCGTTGCCGTTCCCCACGAATTCTCCTGACTCAAAGAGCTTCTTTGTTGTAGCAACGTTCTGGTTTCTTTAGGGGCGATAGGTTGAATTGAATGAATTTAATGAAACATCGTGCAAACTTGTTTTTTTACATCCACCGCAAAGACTTGATCAAATGAATGACAAATGCGAACGTGAATTTTGAAATGCACAGTAGGACCTACTCGCGCATCGTCAGACGCCGTTGCCGAATGTCGGGTAACCCAATAAAGTGCTCAAAAATCGGCTCATAGCGCCTTTTGCTTTTTAAAGTTTTAAAAGATAATTGCGACGAATATGTAGCGGCAACGTTGGGCGCGCGCCGCCGCCCGACACTTTTGAGCCGAACTTCAACAGTGTGTTCAAAATGGCAGACGGGTTGCGTGCGGGAGACACAGTCGGCGATGTAATCGAAAAAACAGTGAAAAACTATGACATTGTTATGGAGTACAAAGGAAACGACAGTGCGAGCGCGTCCCTAGGCAGTGAGAAAGTGAATTGTAATTATTATAGTAGCAAATCGTGTGACAGTGCTAAGTTATTTGATAAGTTGCGTGAAAATGGATCCAAACATGAGGGATTGCTCGCTGTCTGCGACGAGGAAGACTGCAGGAAAAAGAGATGCGTCGACCGATACGACAGTTCGGAATCTTCAGACAGGTGGGTTTGTTGATCGGCCGCGCGAGGTCGTCGATATTGTTTATTTCATTCAAGATTTCGGCGATATTTACGCAAAAAAAGTTACGCGGGCGGTCAATGTCGCGGCCTTTACCTTTGCCGAATTTATTTCGCACGTCGCGCCAACGAAACCGAGAGTATGCGTTTTTTTTTCTTGTTTCGCGTCTTCTACTTTCGCGTGACGGACGATACATTTTTATTTTCGTTCGCTGGGATCGTGCTTTTTTTTTTATTTCTCACCACCACGGATCGCGGTTCCTTCGGCCATTTTGCCCCCGCGCGCGCCTCTCCCGCCCCGGATGACTGTGGGAGCGGATTTCGGCGTTTCCAAGAACCGCCCGGTCTGTTTGTGCCGTGTTTCACCGCGCCTGTGGAATCTAGTTCTGCTGCTAGTTCGTTTTCACATTTCTGAGATAAATCCAACTTTTGTTCCCTAGAACGGTGACGATAAGAAAGAGAACACTAGCCAACAAAGTTATTGAAATTTTGAAAATTGAGCGCGGAACATGAATTTTAAACAATAAAAATTAAAAAAAAATTAATTTGGCAACAATGGTTTGGGGTACGAATTTCTGACGATGTTGGTACAGCACACAGTTACGATTTATCCCACTAGTCCAAATGCGCAGGCGTCGTTTAGAATAGTCTTTTTAATGTATCATTTTCGCGCACGAATAGTTTGTGTGTTTAAATTGTCATTGTTAAGGTTATGATGTTATGGTATATGTTAGTAGCTGGAGGGATGGGTCGTTAATGTTTCGCGTGCAGTTTCAAGAAAAAAATCTAACCTCTGCTTTTTGCGACGCACCCACCCTCACCCTTACCCCCCCCCCCTCCCGCAACATATTTAATCCTTTGGTCGAACAAACGCTGCCCCATCTGCGAGGGGGAGACCCCGAATCCCTTGTGCACGTGCCACCAAAGTACATCATTTGCATATAAATCAGATTAAATGCAAGAGCGAGGAAGATGGACGACAACGGCGGACGGATGCTGCGATTGAAAAGTGCTGAAGCCAGTGGGGGTCAGGGTCCATACGAATGGCACCCCCTTTTTCGTCTACTCTACTACTATTTTTTTGTGATTTACTGTAGAACAGCTCATTGAGTTATTAGGTAATTGGCAAGTTCAAATTTTTCATTTCCAGCTTGTCCCACACCAAAGTCGCTGAGGGCCATCCCACCAAGATATTTTATTTTTTTGATGGCGGCGCTTCCGGTTACTTACACCTATTTCAAACTGATCAACCGGTTTTGCGTTTTTCAATTCCAGATTGAGATATCTATTATCGAGTCTCATATTTTCTGTTCTGAGGTGTTCGAACCAAATAATCCTTTATAATAATTTCACATAACTTTCTTGGTAGAAAATAGTATATTATGCAACAAGTTAGTTTTTGGGTACATTTTCGCAAAACAACACAAATACATTCACTGACATTGCCGTAAAAATTCAAAGCGTGGGAAATATCTCCGAAAACATCCGATTGCTCCCAAACCCGTGTGGTAATATCCCTGAAATGTCCGAAGTGGCTGGGATCCGTGGGAGACGAAACTGACATGGTAAAGTGACGCTTCCCGCACGCTAGATCGGTGTGTAATTAGGCATTTTGCAGACGGGAGTAGAAAAACAATTTAATAGGGTATTTTAAAAAATACAAGATCTGAATAAGCTATGGAAAGAAAGAAACATACAAACTATATTTAGTTACAATATCATAAGCCTAAGGAGTGAAAAAAGATATTAAGCGTGCGTGAAATGAACTAGTTGAATGGCATAGTTGGTTCTGTGAAATTACTGACTAAAAGTTTGAAGGATGCGGGTCTTGCGATGATGCGACATGTAAAGAAAGCTATTTAGAAGTCAGTTACGGACAATCAATTGTATATGACCATTTTAAGTTTGAGGTCCCTCTCATTTATTCTAGATTAACGGTATGTTTATACATCTGAAAAATTTACGCTGCACACTTTTGATAGGCGGCCGATATGACAGGCATAATATGGACCCTTCTCGATGTCGATGCAACTTACTCAAACCATATAGCTACTATACATATAGAGGCCATACCTACGTAGTAACTATAAAAAAAAATTGAGAAGGTTCATTCAACATGCCCATGACCGAGATTTAATATCCACCAATATGGCGACCAACATGGCCATTTTTATGGAAGTATATTCGGGGAAAACGAATTAAGTGTGTGGAGACCACTGTTTAGAAAGAAAATGGCGCAAAGTGCAGGTTAGTGGGTAGAGGCAGGTGCGGAAAATCATTACTTCTATAGAAATATCCATGGCACATCAATTTTTATCTGTTGCTGTAGGGTGCAAACATATGAAGAATTTAAAGTCATGATGAAGTTGAGGGTAGCAAATTATCTTGTGGTCACAAATCCAAGCATCCCGAGAGAAAAAATCAAAATTGGAGCTGTCTGAATTGATCCACAGATCCATATATAGGCAACTTGAGCACATTGAGATCTATGCCGACACAGGAGGATAGATCCTTTAGACACACCTATGACTAGGATTCTAGAAATTGTTAATATGAACAATCGATAAGATTGCTTTTAACCCAACCAATTTAGGTAGTAATTTAAATTATTACATTATACGATATTATTTATTCCGCACTGTCAAATGTAAGCCCATTGATTTTTCTGTATAATAATGACGGTGTGCGAGCATGACGGGGACGAACCTGTCCCGCGGACACCCGACGGACAAAAAACCGAACAACAACGGAGCGCGAGAGGCGGTCGAAAAGGAAAAAAAAAACTGGAAATTTTCGACCCACTGCAGACTACCGTTCCTCCGAAGCTGTCCAAAATCGACCTTCCAGCGGTCGGAGACTGCCCTCTCGTTCTGTCTCTTTCTGTCCTACGTCCTGGGTGCTCGCGTTCAAGTTTCTTTTTCTCTCTGGGGAGGCTAGCGACGTTGCCGCCTCGCACGGCCACCCGGCTCCGTTTGAAAACATCCCCCTATTCCGGTTGCCAGGGTGAGGCTGGGAAGGATTACATTACACCAACAATATTATACAAGGACACTTGTGAAAATTTTTAATGGTTTTCGGTTGAAAGAGAAATTTTAAAGCAACGTGGCTCGATTAAACAATCATCCTCAGCAACAGAGCTTTATACGATAAGTAAAATAAAAAAATAGTGTCCAGGAATGTTGCAGACATTCGCTTTGCACTTGACAAAAAAAAAGTTTTGGATACATACGCAATCGCGAAACTGACGATAGCACGCAGTGTTCTGCGTTCATTAAAATATAACACCATGGTACCCATCTGTTAAAACACCCCAGTTTAATGGCTGTTTGCGCTTGTAGAGGTTATGTTGCCAGTAATGTGAAGTAATCGCCGTTTCACTGGGCGCGCAACAAATCTCGACTTACGCGCAGGCGTTACATCAAATAAAGACGTACGGCGAAAGCGCTATCGGCCTCTCGGATGATTACTTTTGCCTTCCTATTTCGTAATTAAATCGCTGGGCAGCGCTACCGCTTTGTCGATACGTATAATTTTCAGAAAGACGTGGCCGTTTTCCCACGCCTTTACCTTTCGACGTATCGACGGTTCTAAATCACTTAGCCCATGTAAACGAGGTGCGAATTAATAAAATCAAGTCGCCTCGCTTCCGCAATGTTAATGCCAAATATGGACCGTCGGCCACGATCGCCGATCCGAGCTCTCACGTAATAATGATAATCGATCTTTTAATATCATTTAAATCCGCTTCGCTTCGAGACGTTAAAGAAAAATGCAACCGACGACCACATAAGGTCACCGTTAGCTGCCTAAACACTTTATTTATCGGGGGATGCAAAACTTTGTCGGCCTACTTTACGCCCTTCGATGAAAAATATATATTTCATCTTTCCGCGTGCACCTACGATACGAAAACGCCTGGTCGCGTCGGCGAGCGAGTGCATCGCTCCGTTGCTGCCTGCACAGAACCCATCGACATCGAAAACTTGTTTGTGTGTTCTTTTTTCTATCGGCGCGGCTCAGCTGTATCGGTCGTCTTTGTCGTGACGCGCGCGCGCGAGAGAGACGCAGCCGTTTACGGGTTCACTAGCGGACTTTTTCGAAACAGGTTGAATTATCCACGAGCTTTTGTCTAGGCGTGTGAGGGGGGAGCGCGCGCGGGGCCGCCGTGCGGCTACGTGACGTTTCGATACCACGTTGCCGGTTTGCGCCGCTCGGAGCGAAAAAATCGTGGGTCAATAGCAGAATGACTACGAGAATCAGTGATCCAACTCCTTCCCTCCCGGTCTCTTTGATGTTAGTGAATACCATATGGATTTTTCCCCTTTGCCACGCCTCCACCTCCAATGTGCATGCTAACCAGAGTTGAACGGAGTCAGCAAGGTTTTTACGAAAGAGAAATGTGCCAAAGCGTGTTAAGTACTTTCGTTATTTTACCAGGGTACAGGAACGGTCCAACCTTTTAGAATGTCGAAAGTTTGAGTTAATGGTTGAAAATATTCTTTACTGTGGTAATATACGATCTCTGTTGGCAGATAAAAATGCCTACCTCCTGAAAACTTCCTTCAAATTTCACGATATACATACTATATGTATGAATGAGTTTATTATGTTACCCGATGGGAATCTTCATTATGAAATTCGAGAAAATGTGAATAGTTGGAACAATAGTTACCGTTACTGAAAATAAGTCTGTTCGTGTTATGTGGTGGTTCATTTTAAAGGTCCCTCGTTCCGAAAGTGGGCTGGGTGTATCCCCGAGGGTCCACGGGAGACTCGATGGGGGCTTACATTATCATGAAAAATTCCTTTGGTTAGTTGCAGAATATAGTAGAAATGTCCAGGGGGTCCACGGGAACCAGCTAAAGTTTTAAAGTGGCCTATGAGAAGAAAGTCTTGGAACCACTGTTATGGATCATAGATCAAAAGACCTTAGTATAATACTAACAATTTGACAGTTTTGAGAAATACCTAAAAACCTGTTAAAT